CAGCTGGAAGCCCCAACAAGTGAGTCCTGAGGCAAAGGCAGCCAGCTGCCTGGGAAGCAGGAGTCGGGCATGGAGAGACTCTGTGTGTGTGTGTGTGTGTGTGTGTGTGTGTGTGTGTGCACTCAGGTCACCTGTGCAGCCAGGAGGGGATGCACGGTCTCACATGCGAACCTCCCCAGTGCGAAGGTATAATGAGATATTTTTTTTGCAGTGCTGGGATGGAAACCAAGGCTGGCAGGTGCTCTGCCCCGTCCCGTAATGAGCATTTAACAAGGTTTCTCTGAGACACGGGTCCTGGTGCCAACACACAGTCATGCACACATTGCTCAGCTCAGCTAGAGCACTGAACTCGGCCCTGGGCCTACAAAGGCTAAGTGCAAATACAGCAGGCTTTGTCCTGTGGCTTAGGTCTCCCCATGTGATGGGGGCACTACAGAGAGGCCCTGAGCAGAACTTAAAATGAGCCCATTGGCTTTCTGTCTGCCCCAGGCCTACATCCCATTTGTTGATGGGCAGTATCAACCATAGAAATCATAGAAAGTGAATTGCTGGTCCTGGCTGAGGCCTGTAGTGGCCTGTAATGTCCTGAGGTGTTGAAGGACAAGACAAGGCCACAACTGAGGACACCTGGCTCTCACCCCAATTAACCAGATAAAGACTGCAGCTGCAAGTATCTCACTGTAGTGAAGATTGACCTGGAGCTAATGCAACTCTCCTAACTTGCACAGATCCCTGCTTGGGGAAGTCTTTGTACTGACTCCCAAGGTCCTGCTCAGTTTCCTGGTTTCCCACTCTAGCCAAATAAATAAGGGCGCCCAGAGAAGTTCTCTGTCTCAATCTCCAGCGGATCTCGAATTCTGCTAGAGGGCTCTGATCGTTCTGGAGCCCTATATTCACACCACCTGTCTGTTATATTTAAGCCTTTGCAACCACTCGTCCACGGTTTATCTTCCATATCTGTGTCCTTGGGTGCAGGACTCTTCCCAGATGACCTGAACCAGTCTTGATTGGAAATGAAGCCCCAGTGCCCTCAGGGGCCTGAAGTCCTTGCCGGGAAACTCTGAAGGCCTGGAGAAGGGCTCGATTCCAGGCTGTGCAGGCCTGGGCTGGGCAGGTAGCATCAAAGTGCCAGTCCTTGCTGACCCTTTGTGCCTCCCATGCTTGTCCGCAGGGAGCTGTGCAAGAGGCAGGACAGGGGGCAGGAATTGGGGGGCGACCTGGGCCCTGCTCTCTGCATGAAGTTGGTGGGGCCTAGGGAGGAAGCTTCGGCTGAGCATTGGAGGGCATCTGACACTGTGGGAGGAGTGGGCCAGGCCAGCGTATATGACACCACATACACAAAGGCCACCTACAGGGGCCCATACTTGTGCCCAAGGAATGTAGGGTCCCAGGAGCAGCTTGGTCCCCAGTTCCCCGGCCTCTGTGCTGCAGGTGTCCTAGGCCAGGGGACCCTGTCATCATGGAGAGGGGTGCTGTCCTACACACTGAGATGCAAATTCAGCACCTCTGACTTGGCCCTCAGCTGACAGGCGTACCCTGTCCTGCCATGGAAATAGTCACATGTTTCCAGCCACTGCCATCGCCCTAGGGAGTCAGCAACCCTACCCCGGCTGACAGCTCCTGCCCTTTCTCGTGCCCCTTTGCACCCTGTTCTCTGGGTCCTCCCAGCCTAAGCGACAGCTGAGCATGCAATCAGCACCATGTGGAAGACCAGCTCCTGGGGGTGCACAGCTGCCGAGGAGCAGTGGCACCCTGTGACCAGACTGATCCAGAGAATTCCATGTTCCAGGGTTTACACAGGCTCCTCGTCTGCTTGAGGTGTTGGGGCCCGAGTCCTGGTCCTGCTCGCATCAGTCGTGCCCTTACACCAAGCCCCAGGATTTCCTGACTAATCCAGGACTAGCTCACGGGTGCTCCCTGTCGTCATGGCTGGGGTGGCTCTTAGAGTCACAGTAACAGAGCTGTTTTTATTCCTGTTATTTATGCTCTTTCCAAAGGCCCAGGGGTTTCACTCACTTGATTCCTGCTCAGTGTGTTAGAAACTGGCAGGAACCAGTGGATAATTCTTCCCAGATCCTGGCCGCCTGGTCAGGACCTCGGGCCCCAGCGGTGAGCACCAGGGGAAGGCCGAGGTGGGCAATGTGTGCCGCCCCAGAGCTGCCACCAGTCCTGTACCCCGGGTGGTTTCCTGTTGAGGGCTCTGGGGCCAAGGATCACCCGGCAAGGAAGCCTTCGGGGAGGCAGAGCCCAGCGAGCCAACAGCGGCATCAGCACCATGTAGGCCAGCGTTTCTATTTCGAGCAAGGGATGTCCACCCTGTAAATATCCGGCTCTGATTGCTAGGGAAACCAACTGTAGGTTGCTGACATGGTCTCCACCTATGGGTGAAGAGGGACACCTCGTCTGGCTGAAGGCAGCCGGCAGGGTCACAGATGAGACTCAGATTTCTCAGGACCTCAGGGAGGAGGTGAGTTAGGTAAAAGGCGAAGGGACAGTTCATGGGAAGAAGGTAAATGACAAACAAGCAGTGATTTGCTAAAGCAGTCAGTCAAGGGCTTTGGACTGGGCTCTACACCTCAGATGTCTGTACGGAGAGTTGTGCAGCCACTGGTGCCATATTCTGGTTGGTCGGTCCCTTTGGTTATTACTTATTTATCTATTTATTTAGTCTTTTTTGAGGCAGGGTCTCACTCTGTGGTTCAGGCTGGCCTCGAACTCACAGCGATCCTCCTGTCTCAGTCTCCAGAGTGCTGAGATGACAGGCATGCGCCACGCACCCGGCGCCTTGGTTGTCCTAAGCGAACATTCCTAGCACACCGAGCTCTTGGCAACTCACGGGCCTGGGCCTGGGTCCCAGCTGGCAAGCAGCTCCTCCCGGCTCTCTGCTCTCTGCTCCCCGGCCTCCGCGGCCTCCACCCATCTGCAGGGAAACCAGGCTGGGGTCTGTTGAGCCTTAGGAAAGCGTGCGTGTGGTCCTGCTCCAACGCTTCCCCACCCTCGGGCCAAACGTGGTCTGGGTTTCCCTAGGAGGAGCCAAGTCCCTCGGCTAAGGGGAGACCGAGGACCAGCGAGCCCTGGAGCCAGCGGCGCTATGGGGAGGACACGGAGGCGCGTGGGCTCCACAGCAGGAAACACTGTTCACAAAGGATGGAAAAGAGTAAGAGTAAAGATACCTGTGTCCTCCGCAGTCACCTAGAGAAGCTAGCAGTTTTCAATCAACGGTGATCACGCCTGCAGTGAAGCTCACTAGGCACGAGGCAAAGTCGCGTCTGCGTATTTTCATCCGGGTATTTGGGAGCGGGTATTTGCGAGTGGGTAGTAACGAATAGGTATCTGCGTCCAGGTATTTGCGAGGGGCTCTAGGCTGTCTGTCCACAGCCCACTTGCCTTCTGATGTTGGCTTCCGAAAGGGGAAACGAGGAGAGAAAAAACGAGCACACGGGGGCGACAGTAACTTCCCTCCTGTGGTTGAGAAGCCTGTGTTGTCAAGTTTTCCTTCTGACCAGAGCTAACAAAATTACCTGCTGACATTTCGTCATCCCTTCCCACGGCAGAGTGCCGTGGAGGGTTTGCAAAGCAATGCAGTTCCCCAGCTCAGGCAAAGAGAAAACTAAACCCAAGAGCTGGGGGGTCCCCGGCCTGGACTGACACTGTTCCTGCTAGGTAGAGACAGGCGCTGCCTCCTATCCATCCACTGGAACCCCACCTGGGAAGGCTGCTGGCTCCAAACATGGTGGCGCACACCAGCAACCCCAGCACTCAAGAGGCTGAGGCAGGAAAGATCGCCGAGTGTTCAAGGCCAGCCTGAGCTATAGAGACACTCTGTAGCAATAAAACGAACGAAATCGGTACCACTCCAGGCTCCGAACTATCCAAGGAACAGATGTAATGTGCCAGGTGCCTGCGAATGCACCCCACTGCCCGGTGCCCCAGATGTCACCGGCTGCTGGCTCCCTCAGCCCAACCCTCTGCCTCCAAGCAAGAAGTTCAGTTCTACTGCCAGGTTGTTGCCACACAATCAATCACCCAACCCTTTTGTTAGTTTTTGAGACAGGTTCTCCCTGTGTTAAAGGCTGGCCTCAAACTCACAGTGACCCTCCTGCCTCAATTTCCGAGTGCGGGGATTATGAGTGTAGGTGGCAGGCCTCATTTCTTTAAGGGTAAACATGTGTGCTCGCCCAGGGCTGACGGATAGCCAGTGTTCCAGTGTTGAGACGGGAGTGCGGACCGAGAAGGAACGGGGGATGGGACGTGTCTGAGGAATTCTGCAGAACTTGCCCGGCCAGGGACCCGCCAGCAGGCTCAGGATGTGCAACCCACAGGCTGCCCGTAACACCGGGCAGACATTAAGCCAGGATCCAAGCTCAGCCAGAAGCAGCTACAGGGCTGCCCTGTGCTTGGTGCTTCGGGAATTTCCCGTGACTTCCCTACACCTCATGGGGTCTCCTTTTGGGCTGTCTACAGGTGCCCCAATGCCCCCTTCTGGTCAGGAAGGAGAAAACCAGGTCACCAGTGGGAAATGTTACTGCGTGTCACACAGCGTTTAGAAAAGGGAAATCTCCCAGCACTTGGGAAGCTGAGGCAGGAGGACTGCTGTGAGTTTGAGATTAGCCTGGGCTACAAAGTGAACTCAAGGCCAGCCTGAACTGCATAGCGTGACCCTGTCTCACAAAAAAAAAAAAAAAAAAAAAAAGAAGAATTTTAAAAAAGGAAATCTCAGCTCTGTCTGCTGTGTTTATCAGCCATCTGTACTGTTTACATATGTCAAGGGGCACGAGTACTTACCATTTGGGGATGATGGAAATTAGGGGCCCGACCTCCTGGCAGAGTCGGCTCCTGCTCCTGAGCCCTGCACGCCGGAAGGGCAGATCCTGGTTCAGTCACGGCTTTATTAGGACCTAGGGCCCCAGGGCGTGCAGTGCACAGAGCTGTCACAACCCTCCACCCGCTGTCACAATCGCCCTCCACCCGCCAAGGAACAAGAGGGAAGCCCCCGAGTGTCAGAGCTCAGACCGATTCTTCGAGTTTTTATTAGAGCATTATCATTAAGACATTATATTATAAATCTGTGTGGTATAGTTAGAAATTAAATTACAAAATAATACAAATACTTTTAAGATGTGATGTGCCAACAAAGTGTAAATTTTACCATTCATTAAGGTTCAGGTTTCAGACTAAGCAAACAGCTTGGCTGATTCTGTGACATGTGTAAAAGCTCAAAGGACACAGAGAAAGATGTCTAGATAAATTATTTCACAGAAAATGCTTAAATCAAAAAAGAAACTGAGTTTTTAGCAGATTAACATTCTAACCTGTTGGCACAACATACAGAAAATACTTACAGGACAACTTTTTAAAGCAAACAGCAGCTTTATAAACAGTAATACTTCTTTATACATATATTAAAGTAACAATGTGTTACGATTTAGCAATTTTATGCTGAAAATGTAGAGATTACTACTCATTTGCACATTATAATTCCCATCCCGCCCACCTCCCCCAACTTATTAAGAAATCAAACAAGTACATTATTTGGATATTAATTTATCAATATTTAAACTATGTGAATTCCTTTTGACTAATTCTTTTCCAAATACTGGAAGCATATAAAATACCATCTCTGCAAAAATGACCTCCAATCAAAGCCTGTAAAAACTTTTCAATGTATAACACATTATTTTTCTATGTTTAGTCAAAAGAAATATATTACATCATTTATAAACATCGTTAAACCAAAAACTAAGCTAATATGAACATCTCTGTCTTTTGAGAAGTAATCTTCATGACAAAGAAATCTACTGAAGCAAAAATCTAAGTTGGGTGTGGAATCCATAACTTAAGTCTTATATTGTGTATTGAAATAGAAATCTCACATTTATTATTGCCAATGAAACAACTTCTACACACCAAGAAAAAAAATCACTGTTTTCATTTTTGTACTGATCAATCTTGTCTTCCTACTGGATCTCTTCCTAGGTCTCTAAAGAGTGAACCACACCAACATCCAAAACTAGTGAAAACTTCCCGAATCTGCACACTTGCGGAAAGCCTGTAACCCTATGTACACAGATCCCAAAGCTTATCTAACGGGAACAGACAGTAAGGACAGCCTCCCTTTCGGCCCCTCTGCTGTCACGCAGCAGGCTATGGTCCCATGCATGGGGAGCTGGCAGAGGGGCGGCTGTGGAAATCACAGCCACCCCTCTCCAGCCCGCAGCACCGCCAGGTCCCTGGTGTTCGGGAGATCTCCTCCCCTTCTCTTTTGATACAAATGTCGAAAATCAAAAGTGACAATTCACATCCAGAAGACAGAGAAAGTGTAAGAGCCCTACGGAAGTCCCTCCCTAAGATCAAGACTCCTAGACTCACTGACCCTGAGCCCAGGAAAGCAGGCAGGACAGCGGGGAAGGTGCGTAGCCCACTCTTGGGCTGGCAGTGCTCAAAACCTGTCACTTGTTTCAATGCACTGGTGCTTCCGAACATGAGGACAGTAAGATCCGCCGCGGGGACCATCTCTGAGGCTTCATTCCTCACAGCCGGCTATGCACAGGAAGGTGGAGGGCGCAGCAGAGCTCCCAGGTGGTCCACAGTGTGGCCAGCACTGTCACTACAAAGCCGCCGCAGCCCAGGGGGCAGCGAGTTCTGGAAGAACCAACCCCAGACCTGCCCCCTGAGCTGCATGGCTGCACGCACAGGTGGGCCCGCTGGGCTGGAGGAGGAGCGGGAGACAGAGCTTGGGCCACTCCGGGCGGCGAGGGCACCACATCCCCGGACAGGTCAGGACCGCACAAGCACGGCAGAACCACCTCAAGCAGCACCGCTGGGCTTGTCCAGCATGAGCCGCCTTCCTGGAAGAGCAGAGGAAATCAACGCCTAGGAAATGGACACGTGCCTTCTCCACGTCATCTACAGGTTCAGCACAATTAAAACGACTTTCTCTTTTCTTTTAAAACCTCCTCTTCTAAGCCTCAATCATCAGGATAACCTTAGAAGTTGTGCAAAATTCCTTTCCCTGACTTCCTGTCAGTAACCACGGTCACTGCCACATGGAGGGTGCCCAAGGCCAGGCACGAAATGCATATTCTGAGAAGAGATGAAGTGGGTTTGGGCCTGGGACGGGCTGACTATAGTCACCCTGTCCGTGGCACACCCCAGGAGGCCTCCACGTCTTCACGAAAACAGACTAAGGCCGAGGGTGCCCCTGAAGTAAGAGGGCAGCGGGGTGCAGCCGCCCCCACACCGACTGCCTGGGGGCACACCTGCCCCTTCTCCCCTCAAGGCTGCCCTGGGCTCCTGGTGGTCTCTGCCTGCCGAAGTCTGGGAGCCCCTCCAGCTTCAGGGACAGTGCTGATCAGAGGGGGCAGCCTGGGCTCCTGCAGACCTGCTGCCCACGGCCTACTTGGCCTCTGACCCTAACACCAGCCCTTTTTACAAGATGCCCAAACGACTTTCTGATCAGACAGCTAGAGTGAAGGAAGCAGCCCTGAAACCAATGCGGGGAACAGCACTGATCCTCAGAACCTGATCTCCAGCTTTCAGGGTGATGGAAACAGGCACTGTGCATCTCTTTTCCTCACACCGGTCCTCCTTTCTAATCACTACTCCTCATTACAAAAGAAGTCGAAACAGATGGGAATTCCCCAGAGATTCTTACAAAGACACCCAGATGCAAATGAAAAGCTAAGCTCCAGAGTGGGCCAGACAGTAAGTGCTACAAAACGCCCAGCCGGCCAGCAGCTGGCCGCAGGGCAAGTACGATGCGGCCGGTGACTCCTGGGTGGGAGCAGTTCCTGAGTTAGGCGTGCTGGGGTACGGCACCTGGCTCTGCAGGCTGTTGGCTTATCAGGCTGCAGCCGCTAGGCTTCTGTGGGTCGGGTGTGGCCTGGTGGTCTGGAGTCCAGGCCTCGGTATCTGGCCCCTGCTCCAGCCCCTCAGGAGCCTCGGCGTCCTCCCCAGAGCTCTGTTCCGCGTGCTCCTCCTCAGGCCCCGCCAGGCTCTTCCCCAGCTGCAGCGTCTCCATCGTCCTCTGGGTCTCCGAGACCCAGGACTCAATCCGGCTGTTGAGCTGCACCTCCACTGAGATGGGCTCGTGGCCATAGTCTTCCTCCTCGTCCTCGTCCTCATCGTCCTCCTCCTCAAGCATGCCGGGCACCAGCGTGCTGGTGGTGCTGGTGATGGATGAGCTGAGCAGGTCCCGGCAGCTGCCATCCAGGGAACCAGTCTCCGTGCTCTGCTGCGAGGCCCACTCCAGCTCGTCGGGCTTCGCCTCCTCCTTGTCGCAGGCTGCAGCCTTCGCGGAGCTGGGCACCCCCAGGCCCGGCGCAGAGGCAGCACTGCCCATGGCCAAGAGGCTCAGGGCCGGCTGCTTTGCTGTGGAGCTGAGGGTGGACGGGAGCCGGCTAGGCTTGCCAGAAGTATACTGTTGGCTGGAAGCCTCCTTCTCATTTTCAGACGTCTCCAGCCCATCTGAGGTCTCCACCATGTTTCTCCAGTTTGTTTCTACAAATTGCAAACAGATTTTTATAAACCGGAGCACGGTTTCAGAATCACCACACTGAAAAACCCAACAGTAAGGGGGAAGAATAAGACCCAGAAATTTGTTGGCTCTACAACTGGTTGGAAAAATTTTAGATTATTCTTGTACTATTCATGTAAATGTTATGCAGGTACAACAGTCCTCCACAATGTGCATGCAAAACCAAGACACAAGGAGACAAACAGCACTGCAGCAGAAAGCAGAAACTCTCACCCTGCGAGTCCAGTGATCACACATGAAATCTGCAGGGCCATGGCCACAGGGGGAGTCGCCCAGGTGTACTGAGCTCAAGGCGCAGGGCTCAAGGAGCAGAGCTCGCAGGCGCCACCAAGGAGTCCAGCACAATCGGCTCCAACTGCCTGCATGTACAGCAGCCAGCAGTGGCCACGTCACCTCACGGCGACCCACTCAATGCACTTCCAACATGGGTGAGCGACAACTCGGAAACACAGGTGGCTCAGCTCACACTGTGATCCCCAAGGACCGAAAGGCTATATGTGATACAGCAGTGATGATCTAAAATTACCTTTCAGGACACAAAATGGGTGCAGAGCAAAAAGTACTGGGAGTCAAGAGGTGAAATAGAGCCCTGCTCCCGACTTCTGGTTTCTGAGGGTTTTTCACTGCACTGCTGCCATTATTCACATGTATGGGGCATCACACGGTTAACAGAACTAAGGCACATCTGACATCAACGGGCTGGCAGGCATTACCAGACCATGAGGAGCCCACAGCGGCTGGCCGAGGTGGGCCAGGGTGGAGTCTGCAGAGGGAAACCCCGCCCTCCCTCCCCAGCAGAAGCTCTTCCTGCTCTCCGCGCCTGGGCGATGACGCAGCCATGTGGCAGCCATCATGCCCCACAGCCCTCTGCCTACACCGAGTCACTCCCAGCCCCCAGTACTACACGTGCCGCCCCACCTCGCCATGCCAGCCCAGCTTCCTGGTGACTCTGGGAGCTGACCACATCACTGTCCACCAGGTTCCCCCCGCCTGGGACAGTCTGCTGCGAGCCCACTCCCCCTACCCCCGCGTCACGCATGCTCACTGCTCCTCTACTACCTGCCACGTGCTGTCCTCTTTCATCCGTCCCCTGGGGTTCCCAGAGGCCCCAGCCCAGGGCAGTGTCTGTGTTCTGAGCTTCTGCCCCATCCAGCTCCTCTCTGTACCCACCTCTGCCTGAGTAAATGAAAATTCTCACATTTTTAATTATGCAAAGAAACGTTTAGGGTCTTAACCTTTTAGGAGCATGGTTGTTTCCTCCCAGCAATTTTTCCCTAACGAGAAACCTGAGGCAGAGGTGATCAGGGTAGGCACGCTCTGGACACCAGCCTCGGGGCGCCTCTCCCACCTGGCTCCGCTCATGCACCCACCCGGAGCGGGTTCACTGCTGGCATCTGCTTGTAGCCCCACTCTGCTGCCTGCCTTGCTCTCCGGCAGGCCTTCGTGCTGAGCCACTTGTCCCCAGCCCTCCAGGCTGGGCCTGAGCTTGGGACCCTGCTGCCTCCGCCCTAGGTGCTGCACGCCAACCTCACAGGTGGCCGCTGCCCTCCGCCATCTCACTGCATAGCAACAGCACTGCTCTCCGGGACCAAGCCACATCCAGCCTCCCTTCTCACTTCCCCTCAGGGCTCAAGGGAAAGCAGCTTGTCTTCCAGGACACAGCCACGGTGGCCCAGGAGCCAGACTCAGGTTTGAGGCCCCCGCAGCCATGATCATCTCCAGTCAGCAGTGTGGCAGAAAGCTGGGCTCACTGAGCCTAGAGACATGGCAGCCAGGGCTGGCACAGCAAAGGGAAGCAGGGGGCCTGGGGGCAGTGTGCTGGCTGGGAAGATTCAAAGGGGGACAGACAGAGGAACTAGGAGCCAAAGGAGGAGGGGAGGAAAAGGGAGGGATGGAGAGAGGTGGACAAAGACTGCTGGGGAGGGAGGACAGAAAGTGCTCTGGGCAGGAGGGAAGCCCAGGCGAGGCCAGCGCTGACCTCCAACACAAACCTGGTGGTTTCTTTCTTTCCCACTCTCTTTCCCACTACAGACTCAGCCTGAAGCAAACATCATACACCCAGGTTTTACCGAAAGGTCAGACTGAAGGTTGTCAGGCCTGTGGTTTACTTTGCATATATAACATGTCAACAACTCGGCACTTTACCGGCGAAGACCCTCTGGCATCCACTTGGTGGCGTGCCAGGAGCAGGGCTCCCGTGTGTGTGAGAACTCCTTGGGCCTTTCTTAGTTTAGGGTTTCGGAATTAAACTCTAGGATTTCACAGAAGTTTCAGTCCCAAACATTTTAAACTTTAATGAACATCTTTCACGTGGATTTCTATAAGCCAAAATTTTGAAGTATCAAAAAATCAGGATAAAAGCTGGGCATGGAGGCTGTCAGACAGACAACTGTGAGCCCAAGGCCAGCCTGGGCTGCATAAAAGAAAAGCAGCCAAAGGAAACAAAACCCACCAAAACCAAAAGGTCGTGCGGATAGGCAGTTACAGAACGACTGCCGTCACTTAAGTTACTTCTAAGCTTAGCCCATTTAAACTGCTTGGTGGCCGGCCAGGCCCAGGGCGTCCTGAGGCTGAGGCCAGCCTGGAAACTGCAAAACACACAGTAAAAACCAAACGGGCTGGGCAGAGCGCCGCACAGGTACCTGCCTACCTGGCCCGAGTGAGGCCTGGGCTCAGCTGCAGGACCAGAGACACCGCCCAGGAGGGGCCGTGACACCCACCGTACTCCTTCTCGTTGACTTCAGAGATGGGCTCGGAGATGACACTGCAGAAGGAGATGGCGCTGGCCGCAGAGGGGTTCCGGGAGTGGCCCATGTGGTGCGGCACCTTCTTCACGTTCTTTAGGGCCTCCTCGGCCTGCTCCTGCTCCATGGCCGCGACCATGTCTTTGTACGCCTTCCTGGCCTCCTCCGTGAGCTCCACCAACTTATTGAACAGGCCCTGAGGGAAACGGGGACGCCATTAGCCCGCTTTCCGGGGGCTTGCACTCTTGCTCCTAGCTATGACCACCTCCACTGTTCCAGCATCCAAATGCAAACTGCAGAAACCTGCACAACACTCTGGGTTGCTCTGCTGTTTGCTTTTCTCAGCCTGAGGACAGTTCTCGATGGGCATGGTGTGGGACATGCCAAAGGTTCATGGACTAGGGAAGATGCAGAACTTACTAACCAAAGTCCTACAGTCTGGGCAACACAGGTCGGTGTAAATACACAGCACGAGGCCGCGCCTGTATGTGCCAGATGGTGACCTTCACGGACACGTGGGCCTCCCTGGACTCCCACCAGAAGCTTTCACTGAGGCCCTCAACTGAGCACAGTGTGAATAAAGAAGCTCAACTGGGGGACGTGACCTGGACGCTACCAGAGGAATTTCATCCAAAGTATAAACAGTGCCTAGACAAGGGCAGACAGGACAGCAAGGCTCCCGTCTTCTCTCTAAGACCCTGCTCCTTAAGTGCAAACCTTGTTAAGACGCTGCAGCAGAGCCTGTCCCTGCCAATGAATTCAGGCGGGAAGTGCACGTCACAAGCTCCAGCCGCTGCAGGCGACACTGTGAGAGGAGCAAAGAGTGGGCGTCCGTGCTTCCAACAGCAGGGTGGTTAGGAACAGCCCCCCTGGTGTCACCTGGGGAGTACCTACAGCGTCTGATACACTGTGCACTTCATTGCAACCAATGGGAAACACGGGTACGCGTGTATGCGATTGAGACTCAGACGGGTTTTATAACATAAGTAAGGTAGAAACCGTTAGGAACAAAAGAACATAGGGGAAGAGAAAAAAAAAAAAAACAAAGGGAGAAGCTAAGATCAGGGAATGAAAAGCCTCAAACATACGGCCCAGGAGTGGGAGTTCATATCCAAGGTGAGCATCAGCAGATGGTAAAAGTAATCCCGGCCCTCTGCTTCCTTATTAGGGATGTACACGTTTAATCACACCGTCATTACTTCTTATAGTTCCATGTGAGAAGAATATGCTTTGGTTTAAATCATTTATCCACCTCGATATAGCAGACAGTAAGTAAAAAAGGCACACAAAGCTAGCAAACACTGTGTAACACAAATGCACACAAACAGCCTTCCACACAGAACTCCTAAGGAAGTTGATAACGGAAGGCATGGCCACGCTCCTGACTGATCATTCCTAGCCCATGAACTCCGGCATCAAGCAGAGCGGGAGTCGGATTTCATCAGTGGTCCTCACGCCTGGCCCTTCCTTCCACATGGGTGTCATCGCCTCCCTCCACACACCCTGGCACAGGCAGAGGCACACGGGTCACCATCCGCTCAGGGAACGTCTCCCACATGCTCACTGGGTTAGCCAGGGGCCTGCCAGCAGGACCTCAGTCACCACGGGAGGAACATGTGTAAGCACAGCCCTGCCCTGTGACCACCTGCAGCGCAGGAGAACACGGACCCCTGACAGTGTAGACTGACCACACATTCAGGGAAGGGTAGGCAGATGATCACATGGGCAGTGCAGGAGACCACCTAGGAATGGGCAGGAGATGGGGGAAGTGGGCAGAATGCGAACACCGTAACCACAGAGTATGGGTTTAGATACAGATAGATACAGTAAGGCTGATATTCTGGCTTGTATCTGATGTCCCCCAGCCTCACGTGCTCTTAGGTGGGGACTTCAGGGGGCGGCTGGGTCCGTGTGTGTGTGTGTGTGTGTTGTGTGTTATGGGTGCGACACTTGGATTAAGGGGGTGGATAGTGGAAGCCCCACTCTGGGCATGGGTGGCACCAATCAATGGGCTCGCAGCCTGGATGGAGTATAAAGGGACAGAAAGAAGGCAGGCTTGCTGCTGCTGCTGCACTGTGCACCCTCCTCCCTGCCATGCATGAGCTGTTTCTCCTCTGCTACGCCCTCTGCTATGCCACCCTTCCTTAGAGCCAGCCGACTATGGACTAAAACCTCAACAAGAAATGAACTTTTCCTCCTTTAGCTTCAGATGTTGGGTATTTTGTCCCAACAACTAGAAAAGTAACCAGGGCAGATTTCAGTACAGAGTGGAGCTGTTGCTGTGACCTTATCTGGCCATGTGGTTCAGAAGCCTTTGGGACTGGCTTGTGAGCAGAGTCTGGGAAGGTCTGGAGATGCCAGCTGAAGAAGCAGCCCTAGACTGCTTTAAGCTGCACTTGATGGGAGCCCCCATCAGAGCTCAGTGAAGCAGAGTGCTGACAGAAAAGCAGCTGGTAAAAACCGGGCTCTGCAGGTGTCTGTTGGAAAGCAGTGTACTGGTACTGAGACTCTAGATCATGTGTGCTCTGCTCTGGCCAACAATCTGTCTGCTTTTCCCTTGTGTCCAGAGACTGAAACTGGGATTAAGGGCAGTGGACTAATTTAATCTTGTGGAAGAAATTTCAAGGCAGCTAATGTTGAGACAGTGGCGTAGCTACCATCGGGGCACTTTAGTTCAATCTATGTTGGGAAACGAGAGCAAGAAGCCCAGCAGGATGATTTAAAACATTTTGTGTTTGTCCGGCAAGGAAATTTTGTTAAAGTTTCAAAGGGCAAAGATGGAGCAGAGGAGAAACTAGTTGCTGAAAAGAAAAAGATGGACTGGGAACATCACAAGAATCAGGACTTTGGCCTCTGCAGCTTCAGAGTTGTAAAGATGAAAGACTTTGCTTCAAGAAGTGAGCCCAGAGCACCATGTTCCAGAATGGCAGTCATCTAGAGTAGTTGCTCCTCAGGACTGGGTTCAGAGGCACTGGGCCTCTACAGTCAAGAGAGAGGGAGGCCTGTCTGCTGCTCCGGCTTGTGGCAGACCCTGGCATCACTCGTTTTAGGCGCATGCAGAATCCAAGAGTTGGGTGGTCAGGAAGGCTTCCACCCAGATTTCAGAAGAAGGTTTGGGGGGCCAGGGAGTGTGCTCCCAAGATAGCAATGTGTGAAGCTGTAGGTGTGAAGCCAAAGGTGCAGTGGAGATGCCAGAAGGCTGGAGAAGCCAGGAACATAGATCATCTGAGGAAAGCTGTAAGGAGGGTGCAGAGCCAGCCCAAGAGAGAAGCCCTGGAAACTACAACCAAGGGAAGTGCCACAGGGGCAGAGCCACCCAAACCCTTTGGAGTTTGCATCTTGTCACAAACTGCCCTAGATGCTCAACATGGAACTATGGGACTTGGTCCCATTCCTTTTTAACCCCCTAATTGAAATGGGAAGGCTTCTCTTGTGCCACTGAATGTTTGAAGTGTTTAACTTTTCTTTTGCTTGTATAGGAGCTCCCAGCTAAGTGTTTGCCTTAAATCTCAGAGGAGACTTTGGACTTGGACTTTTCAGCAATGCTGAAACTGTTAGGACTTTGGGAACTCTTAGAGATGGACTGAATGCCTTTTGCATAAAGGATGTACACAAATCTGTAGGGGATGGGATGGAAGGCTAAGGCTGTGACCAGATACCCATAGTCATATGTGGAGTTTTTGGGAGGTGCTGCATTAGGGTGTATGGATGTGGATTAAGGGTGTGATGTTGGGATTAAAGGGATGAATAATGCGAGTACCACTCTGAGTGTGAGTGGCACCAATTAGAGGACAGCCTGGAAGAAATACAAAGGGCCAGAAACAAACCAGCCTGCTGCTGCTGCTGCTGCTTGCTGCCTCCAGCCTGCTGTCTCTGCTGCACAATGCCCCTCTGCCATGGAACCAGCCAGCTAAGGACTAAAACCTCTACAAACAGTAAACCTTTCCTCCTTTAATTTCTGGGTATTGGGTATTTTGTACCAGCAACTAGAAAAGTAACTAAGACAGAAGAAAGGAAATGGTTGACCAATTATATCAAAGTAGTTGGGAATCAATCATCACAAATGCCCCTGAAATACCACGGCAATATACTGCGCATGGCAAGCTGTGCTAGCCAGCTGCCAGCAGTGCAGGTGTTACAGGTACACAGCTATTCTGACAAATGGGTGCAGATGTTTAATATTCCAAAAGACAATTCCTTCAATTAAAGGATCTGTTTCTCTAGAGTCCTGGAACACAAACGTACCCATCACAAAGCATGAAGAAATTACTTTGCATTGCATTATGTTGGCTATCTTTAACCAGCAGTTAAATGTGACCAAGTCCTGCACCACTGAGCCCAAAAAATTAAACCCACTATAGCACAAACAGGAAACTCCAGCTTTCCAAGCTGCCATAGAGCTTCACCACCTAAAGGAAATGCCATATTCAAGGGTCCCCACTTACGCTCTAAGACCTCAATTTACTTCCAACACTTCGGCACAGCAGTGCCATGTGCCAAAGGAAACGTGCTATGTGTGGCAGCAGGGGAGAAGAGAAGTGCCCCTGAATTCGTACCTCTGCGCCGAAGTAGTTGAAGATCCCCACGACACTGACGGGAACCAGCTTGTTCACGCAGCGCCCTAGAGCTTTTCTCCCAAGGGCAAACACAAAAGGAATTTCTTGTTCCCGAGCCATAGCGATCACATTATAGAGTGCCTCGTCCAGGCCGCCTGTGGGATCAACACACACAGAGGTCCCAAGTTAATCACTTCCCGTCCGAGACATCCCGGCCTGCGGCACAGAGCAGCAGAGGCCGGTACACACCTCCAGCTGTTTGTGTATTACAGACCTGCGGCTTTCTTTCTCAATTAAAATTCCCAACTTCCTCAAAACTAGAATTTCTGTTTTCCACAGTGACTAGCAGAGTCAGAATCAACTTCCAATTTAAGCCAGGCCGATAAGAAACCCTAGCACTCTGAGGCTGAGACAGGAGGGTCACAAACTCAAACCTAGTCCGGGCAATGAAGTGATGACCTCCATCTCAAAGTAACAAATAAAGGGCTGGGGACGCAGCTATGAAGGTCCTGGGTTCAGTCCCTAGTATTGCACTGAAAAGGTATTATAAACAAATACATATATGCACAGTTAATAAGCCTAACGGAGAAATCATTAAAATTGTTCACAGCACTGAACTTCTCTCTCTAACCTGTCAGCTCACAAAGCCAGGTGTTTGCTGCCCTGGGGCTTCCCCAGTACCATGTGCCGCATCTGACCTGCCCCACCTACCCTGAAGGCCCCTGCAGGACACATGTCACAGCATAGTTCCCACAAGGCAGTTACCACGCAGGAGCCTCCACAGAAGAGGCTGTCTGGCTCTCTAACCACAGGCCCTTCCTTCTCTCATTCTTTTTTAGCGGGGAGGCTACCGCCGTAAGGTGACGGGAATACATCAGAAAGGAACACACCTGACTGGTTCCCACTTTGGTCACAGCAAAGTGGACATGGGACAGATCCCACCAAACCCTTTACCAGTATTCATACTGAGAGTTTTCTTCATGATCCAATCTCAATTATTGTACCTAATCTACATACTGATTTTATTTTCTTTCCTCATGCACACTATTTTGTTTTAAAATTATACTTTTCTGAAAAAAACATAAGGTTCACTCTAAAAATCTGCTCTTCCACCGAACAGGCACCAGGGCGGGCAGAAGCAAATCGTGCATGCCTTTGGACTGGATCTTCTCACAGTTGGGAGAGATGATGACACACTTGATCTTGTTCAGCTTCATGTGCTTGGTGACCTCCCGCAGCCCCATGACCAGCCGGCGCCTGGCCTTGGCCCGCGCGGGGTCCTTCTGGTAGACCCGCTCCTGGAAACTGACCAGCTCCTGCAGGAGCAGCGTCACGCACTCGTCGATCTCTTTGGAGAGAACCTGGTTGCAGTATCTGTGAAGGGAACAACAGGGACCTCCTTTCAAACCACCTTCTGGCAATTACAAAGCTGCGTTAAGAAAACAGCTTTAGAGGCTGGGGATTTAGCTCAGCAGCATAAGCGCCTGCCTCGCAAGCAGGGAGTCGTGAGTTTGATCCCTGGTACTGATAAAAAGGAAAAAGACAAAAAAAAAAAAAAAAAAAGAAAGAAAGAAAGAAAACAGTTTATGAGATCACACAGGTTTCATGAAAAGTCAAGTCCCTCAAACTTTCAAATCCTCCATGCAGCTAGCAAAACAGAAGAGTGGTACAGACTGTCTCTGTCTCTGGATTTTCCAATAAACTGGTTTTTAGTAAAAAGTGGGTCCCGACTGTTAAATTTCTAAAGCCAAATGTTGCCCTTCTTTAAGACAAAACAGATAAAATGTTTAAGGTGTGTCTAAGGTAGGAAACACATGTAACTTCTAACTCAATGTCTGAATACCTGCACTGCATTCCCCGAGCCTAGAGAATCCCCAGGTGTTTCTTAGCCACACAGTAAAGTGCTGGGCAGAGGCCTCGGGGCCCCTCTGGTTCGGCAACCTAGAGCCGTGCAGGGTGAACTCAACAGTCCAACCGAAGCCCAAGCCAACAAGGCCTTGAGACAGACCTCACAGGGACTTTGGGTCAGAGTGTGATGCTGGGTGCCGGCCAGCTAACCGTGAGGGACAGAAAGGCAGTGAGCAGGAGGTCACTGTGGTCCTCACTCGTGGACAGGAAAGTCGCCCAGGGCATTCCTTGTGCGTTCTTCCCATCTTCTCATTGGAAGCAGGTATCAAACAGCGAGCCTTGGGTAACTTCACCCAGCAGTAACAGGGCAGGCAAAATCAGAGTTTGAAGTTTTACACTGGGAAAATCTAGGCCTGAGCAGCTTCATCACAAAAGGAACCGCACTGGGAATTTCATGCAAGCAATGCTTAAATAAGGACCAGTGAGGCACTGCCTCACAACTGCACAGACGAGAAAGCTGAACCGCAGCAAGTATCCAGAACTAAAGACCAGAACATCAAAATGCAATTTTCTTCCTTCTTTCTTTCAAGCTATTTCAGACATATGCAACATTTTATTCTTTATTTGTTCCACATCTGTTATTTGACATTTAATTAACTTCTCAAAGCTAGGCAAGAAGTATTCACTCAAAAACAATGGAATAAGGACAAGTAACAACAACAATATGGTCTGGACTCTTCCAGATCATACATATTCTCACCCTGCGAGTCTTTCATATGTCATTTTTAAAGGGAAAACTAGCTCACTACACAAATGTCAAAACCCTAAAATATCTCACAGCAGTAACTGTTAAAGGTCGTTCACAGATGGAGTATCATATTGTGTGACTCCTTAGTTATCTCAATTCTAAAACTTAGCAGCTTAACAACAAATATTTTAGCGGGATGTGCAGGTCAGTGGTAGAGCTCCTGTCTTGTGCAAAACTCTGAGTTAAAAATAGTAAGTTTTATGGTGTAGGTGCATTTCAAGTAACAAGGTCTTAAAAAGCCTAGTTCATGTAGTTAATTGGTCAGTTTTTTAAAGGACCAATATTCATAAAAGCAAAAGCATCTGAAAAGGGAAAAACATGTAGCACAATATCTTAAATATATAAAATGTACGAGGCCAGGTTTCTCAGACAGAAACACTGATGCAAAGAGAATATATTTCCTGTCCAGCAGACTTGTGTCAATGCTGAAGAAGAGAACACTTCATACATGACACAACCAGCTGGTACACAGAATCGGAAAGGACTTAAAAGACCTCTGAGCTACGCCTGCTCAGCTCACCAAGTAACAGGGATGATGCAGAACCATAATCAAGACTCAGAGTATTTGAGCTGAGAGATGAGGGAAAAACTTACTCTCTGAATCTTTTGCTGTGGATCTTGGTTATTGTGGAAGATGCCATGGGGCTGCCGATCCCGGAGCTGGCAGGAGAGCCTTGGGACACAGGCGTCATGCAGTACGGGGAGTTCTGACTCGCTGGAGAGAGCGAGGTATCGCTGGGCATGCTCAGTCCGGCATCTGTGGAGATGCGAGTCGAGGGAAAGAACCCAGGCTGCAAATGCGGGAAGGCACCTCGATGCCCCACACGTCAGCTACAGGAGCTGCTTTTGGGTCACAAGTTAGCGAGGTGGGCATTTTTCCTATCACAAATAAACACCTCTCCCCACTATGAACATGAGGACTTCCTATTATCTATTAAATTACACTGAAAAAACCCAAAAACAAATGCAGCCTGGCAGTCTCCACAAAGAAGATGAGAACAGGCAGAATTGTACAAACCTGCATTCCCAGAGGTTTCATTACGAAAGGTCTGCACCTCTTTACGACCTTGTTGCCCTGCTCGGCATTCCCACCGATTTTCTGGAGTCGCTGTCTTCCTGCTCTAAGCCCCCCTTACACGGCCTGCTTCTGCAGGCTGCTATGCTCAGGGCTGCGGCTCCAGTCACCAGCTGGAGTCCACCATGTCCTTCCCTCAGCTCCAATTCTCCCTCAACAGCCAGACCCATGTATGGCGAGGTCCCCTCTGCAAAGCCATATCTCTCCCTGAGCTCCTGTGACCAGGGCTGCCACCACGAGGCTTTCACTCTGCCCCACCGCCCCACTCCCACTGCTTACTAAAAATACACGCGAGACACGTGCAAGGCAGACTTGCAGAGAACGGACGGAGAATCCTAAATCCAGGGGGCCTACTGAGTCAAGAATGAAGGGGAGTCCTAACTGAGCACGTCCTAGGGGAATGATGCCCAGAGGTAAATTCACTTTCCTAAAACAATGAAACACTGCTGCCTAATCCGTTTATAAATCAGATTTCAGTGCACCATGAGATCGTGTGTGCTGGGAACTTACTATCTGAGACTAAATCATATTTGCTGGAATCCTATGTGCTCATTGCTGACTGGGACTAAATCTTTACTGACCAGCTATGCTCTGCTTTGCAGTTCTGTACTCACTGTGCACATGTACTCATTTTCCCAAAACAAAAAATAACAAAAGGACTCAATGGAAAATACCCTATAAAGAAAGATACACAGTTTTACAGAGGTGAGGCGAAATGAACGGAGCCACAAGAGCTCCAGAGGTGAACTGACTACTGGGGAGCTCTGAACTTTTTTCTTTTCTTTGGAGACAGGGTCACTATTATTTAGTGCAAGCTGGCCTCAAACTCACAGCGACGCCTCTGCCTCAGTCTCCTGAGTACCGGGATTACAGACGTGCATCACCACGCCTGCATGAGATCTGCTGTCAAGGTTTACAGTTCCAGACGGAAGCCTCAAGGCTGACGTGTATGTGCCCACTACAGAGCACATGCGGCCACCGCAACCTCTCCCTGCCAAGGCGCATTCACAGGAAACTGCTCTCAACATTAAAAAAGGTCCCTGAGCAGGCAGCATGACTGCCACTTAGCATAACCAGCTTCCCCCACTTCAAAGGGCTAAGCCAGGCCCAATGCAGACCCACCGGCTGCAACGCAAGCCTCCCTTCCCCTGACCGTAGGCCTACAGGGTGCTGGGATGCGTGGGGCTACTGCAGGACTCGATGTGATGCTCAGCGTGGACCACACAGTCCAGACCACAGGGCTGCCTGGGGAGGACCAGGGCAGCCGCCTCCGCCCCACGCTTACGGTCAGCAGAGTGGGCGCCTGCCTTGGCTCGGCCTGGAAGCCACGGCAATCACAGACCCCAGCACCCTAACCGTCCACACAGGCTTGGGCCAGTGAGGACTGCTGCACACTGTGATGGAGACACGCAAGTTACTTTGTTTACTAAACCTGGGCTTGCTGTTCTGTAAAATCCTGAGTTAAAATGTTTTACCAGCTATGGTGTACGACAGAAAATGCGTCACAGATTTCTGGTCATGTTGTTATGATTACATACATAACACGGCTAGTGCTAGAAAAGTGAATGGCTACTCACTCACTTTTGAAATGCAGAGTTGCAGCCCACCAACTCGGAGGAAAATCTCATTGGGTCCCTTACCAGCACTATCAGAGCAGGCTTCCTAGGCCCACGTCACCCGAGGCCTGGCTCACCGCTGCCTTGTGCAGCAAGTGCGCTGGCCAAGGGGCAAATAGAGGGACACAAAGAGGAAATCGGTGCGAACCAAGGATGGCACTGCGTCTATGGAGCCACACGCTGATGTGTCCATTTCCCAAAACACCTGGCCCATGTGCTGTCCCCATGGCCCCTCTCTCAGCCCCCTCAAGCAGGCCCATCCTCAGCCCATGAGCGGGGTGCCGCGTGCCGTGTGCAGCCCAGGCCCTGGCTGGCCCTGCTCTTACCTTCCTGGGAGGGGCCCTCCCGCGGCAGGGTGTCCATGAAATCCAGAGGCGGCTCTGCAGGCTCCTCGGCCCCCAGGACACTGTGGTCCACTGCTAAGCGGCCCTTCTTTTCCTCTCTTTCTTTCAAAATAACCTAGGAGTCATGACAGCAGTCTTACTGATCGCGTCAGGTCCACACTGAGGGTCACAGCTCGTCCAGGACACAGCAGTGGGCCTTCACACACACGCAGGCCTGCGGGAGCAGGCAGGTGGCTGTGTGTTTGCTGGGTTACATGGACACTGACTCCCGAGAAGGTGAATGTCAGCGTAGGTGCCGGGAGCTGAAGAAAATACGGTACCCAAAACACAGAGGCCTGAGAACATACGGTATCAAGTCACATCTCCTGGGTTCGTTCCTTAAACCTACGACAAACTGAGTTTCCAAAAACATAACTGGAGTGTAAATCGGTTTGGAAACCAGTTCGCAGAGCTCACTCGCCTTACACTGCACAGTGTCCCGCTCTTTGGATTCAGGCTGTCGTACCCTAAGAGCTGGGACTGCTGGAGCAGTGTAGTGTCTTCCAGTCACAGGTGGGGATGGCAGTCACCTACACAATGCACAGTGGCCCGCAAGCGAGGGCACATGCACTGCGGTCCACGGCTGGTCTGGGCTGCACTCTGCATCTGCGGAGCACTCGCCTGGGCTGGGTGAGGCCCCAGGTTCCGTCTCCAGGACAAAACCAGAACACCAACAAGCAAAGGAAAACAGCCCGGCAAACACAGGGCTTCTGACTCGCAGGGTCCAGTGCTGTGGGCAATTAAATGTTTAAGTGGGTTTTTAAAACCTTATAGAAAACAATTCATTCTCTAGGGCCTTGTTCTATCTGAAACACTGTTATAAAGCTGATGGTATCTCCAACTCTGAATTAACTATTCATTGCAAAGACGCACATATATGAATACTTCCAATAACCTACTGGCCAACCCATGACGACTCGCTCTTGTTTTTTGTTGTTGGTCTATGCAGTTCAGACTGGCCTAGAACTCACTGTGTAGTCTAGGCTGGCCTCAAACTTGCAGCAATCCTCCTGCCTCAGCCTCCAGAGTGCTGAGATTACAGGTATGTGCCACCACACCTGGCCCATGACTCACTTCTGAAAAACAGACTTAAACCCTTTAAACATTCTGTAAGGTAGAAGATTCCCAGGTTTCAGATTACCTTTTTAAGTGCTGTGGGTCTTTTTAGCTTTGCAATTTCCTTCTCTCTTCCTTTTTTCGCTTTAGAGGAAGTAATGTCCAAAGCGTTAAAGGACGTCAAACAGGGCTGACTCTTGGTTAAAGGTTTTCTGCTGGCAGAGTCTTTAGGGTGAAAAGCAGCCGTGGTAACCACTAAAAACAAACAAGGATGTTACTACTATGGTTTTACCACCTCGGCCAGTTCCACGTCCTTCAAAGTTCCCAATAATAAATCTGCAAAAGCAGCCTCTTCCCGTGGGAAAAACAGCAGGGGCAGCTCCCCGCAGCGCCGGGCCCCTGGGGCTTGGTTTCTATCCACCACTCCCCTCTCTGAGGGTGGCAAGCCAGGCTGAGGGGCAGCACCACAGCCCGAGGTGGGGACTCACAGGGACACACGAGGACATACGAGGACTCCACTCTGCCCGCGCTCATCCGTCAGCACCGCCTGACCTGCGGGGTCCCAGCTGTGGCCAGTAGGACTCCTCACTCCTGCTCAGCCTGCGGTTTACTTATCTCCACCAAGACACTTGGAGGACTGTCACTCCTTTTTGGGGGGTGGGAAGTACTGTGGACTGGACTCAAGGCTGCCCCACTGAGCTACGCCCCAGCCTTTTTTACTGTGAGACAGGGTCTCCCAAAGTTGTCCAGGCTGGGCTCCCACTTTTGATCCTCCTGCTCAGCCTCCCTCCTCACACTGCCATTAATAAAGAATGCTGGTGTGTCCTCCACTGACGCAGGGTACCGCCCAGCACTTCTGAACTCGAGGACGGCTGCCTGACCTTCCCTCGTCCTGCAGCCCTGACCCCAGCTTCTTGCTGCAGTGGGTGTCCAGAGTCCCAGGAAGACGCACTTGTCCTTGGTGGGAAGGCAAAGATCCGGGGGAGGTGCAGACCTCACTACGACCCAGCCCCCACCCTTCTACCCCTACACACACACACACACACACACACACACACACACACACACACAGAGTTTGGTCCAAACTTCTACTGCCATTTAATTTAAACTGGATTACTTAGCAGTTCAGAAAACCAAACTGCTTGTCATTTTTATTTTATCTCTGCAGAAGAAAAAAAAAATGTGGTTGGTTCAAAACACACACCAAGTGACATTTCAGTAGAGATGTGCGGGCGGGCCCTGAGCGAGCAAACAGCGCTGACTTCCAGGAGCAGCACTCCAGGACAGGGAGCAGCTGGCTCACAGACAGCAGGCCTGGAAGCCAGGGCCAGCGAAGACGTGACCTCAGCAGCACTGTGGCCCTCCTCCACGTCAGGACAGAGGCCACTAGAGGATGCTGCGGCTGTGGTGACAGAAACCAGCTCTGAGCCACCCGGGCACAGGGAGGCAGGCTCAGGAACAGACAGGAGTCCTGAGCAGTGGCAGTGCTGCTGGGGTCTGAGAGGGGTTGCGGGGCGAAAAGGACAGTGCATCACAGGAGAAGGGGGCGGTAAGGAGGGTTAGGGTTAGGGTTAGAAGGGCTGAATGTTCAGAGAAGGGATACAGACAGCTCCAAGGTTTGTGGTCTGAGCAGACCTCTCTCTCTCTCACACACACACACACACACACACACACACACACACACACACGAGCCTCAGACCCACAGCACGCACAGCACACTGCTGAAGCCAGACAGGAACACCACAAACCCCGCACTCACCAGTGCAAGCCAGGGGCCTGGTGTTGGTGATCTGCCGCGCTTTCATGGCCTGCTGTTGCTTCTCCAGGGCCGCCAGCATGTCCCCCAAGTCCAGCTGCACGGGGGCTTTGTTTTTTTTCCCAGCTGCTTTGGATAAAGCTTCCTGCAAGATGCACACAGACATCGGTGCTGTGCCCCGTGTGGAAGGGTGAGAGCCACGGTGGCTATGCTGACCGCTCCTCCGACCATCCTATCAAACTAGGCAAGTGACCCCACAGCAGCCCAGAAAGCCACACGCACCTGTAATTTTTTTTGCTCCATGCTGATTTCTGAATATTCCTGCGCTGTGGCGAGGGCCGCTGCCAGCGCTTTCTTCTTCTGACTCTTTGCACGTTTAGGGACGGAGGTGGTGATGGGAATGGGCGTCTGAACGATATTGATTGGTGAGTTCTCGGGTAGGTCATCCAGCTGTGGCAAGCAGAGAACAGTCTGTCAGCAACCTCTAACACGGACGTGATTGGGCAGGGGCCCTGCGGTGGGACTGGCCTGAGCCCCTTGGAGGACTCCACATTACAAACACTGAGGGAAAACTGGATCCCCATGGACAGAAAAATGAGAAACAGCATCAGCGGAATGCAACAGGGCATGCAAAGCAAAATTCCTCCGAAGTGAAACCCTGACAACCAACAGACTTCTGCAGAGAACGGGGTTTTCCTCTCATTCAGGAGTGTGGGTTCCACAGGAAACATTTGTTTTGGGTATTTTAAAAAGCAGTACTAAGGTGAGTAAGAAACATAGTGCTTATCTTTAAGAAGAGGCACTTACTACTTTTGAAGAAAGTTTCTGTTGAATACTCTCATCCTTAGCATTGCTGTTCTCGCTTAGCTGTTGAAACCCATCTTCATCCTGAAACAGATCACATGTTAGTAAAAAACAACTCATGGCAACGTCCTAAGGAAAACCTTTTACAATGCTTAGAAACAACAAAAATGGGAGAAGAACTCTGTGCTCTACTGATGACCTATTTCAAAGCAATCTTAAAAAGGAAACTTCATTTCTGGGGCTGGGGATTTAGCTCAGCAGCATAAGCACCTGTCTGGCAAGCTCGAGGTTGTGAGTTCGATCCCTGATACCAGAAAAAAAAAAAAGACACCTCATTGCTCCCATGCACCACCTAGCCGAGTTAACTGCTGAGGTGTGGAGACCCATCTACGTATGTCAGCCTCGGACCTCGGTGCCTCTTTTCCAGTGCTGTTCCTAATTCCTCTGCAAGATGGGCAGGCAATTAAAAAAGAGAAAAAACATTCAAACTGGATTTTATCACAGTCGGGTTATTTGGAAAAGACTTTAAACAGTTTAATGTGAATTTTATTAACGTATTTCCTGTCTCACACAACTATATACAACTGCATGGTAAAAGCTGAAAAAAATCATTTTCTACCCAAGTTAATTCCATAATCAACATCCTGCTTTACACAAAAGTGTGCCCAACGCCTTTAATGAAAGGTGAGCACGGCCGCCACACAGCCCAGAGCACACAGTGACAATGTCACGTCCAGACGTTAAACTGCCCGGATCCAGTAACCGAGAGGGACCTGAGTCTCTGGGTTGATCATGAAGCTCATCTGATGGATTCTCTACTTCTGTCCAGTCTAATCTCTGCATAGGGATCTATCTTATGGGATTTATGAAATGAATCACACCAATGTTACCACAGACGTCTGCCTCACCAATTCTACTTGCTCTTTCAAAGCTATTCCAAACAGTCTTCCGAGTGGCCTTATCTCCACTCCCAACCCCGACCCCACGGCGCGCTCTGGGTGTGTGTGGCCTCCTGTGAGGGCCGTCCACTGCACCGGGCTCCACACTGGGCTGGGCTGGTGGGGCGAGGCAACACCTGCTGGGCCGGGAGTCCCCAGCTGCCCTCCTTCCCCTAGGGTCTCTCGAGCAGCAGCACACACTGACTAGACCGACTGCTCCGAAACGAAAGGCCTTGGAAGGACGAAAACAACAGGAAGGCAGAGAAAACGTTTCCTACTGGAGGAAACACAGAAATCAGGGCCTGCCTCCACACAATACCTCCAAGCGCACCTACCTGACAAAACCCAGTGACATAAACATGAACGGAGTAGACTAAATATAACCAAGGGGAAAACCGGCTAATACTTCTGAATAATTTACAACTTTAGAGGCACATGTTAAGACATAAAAATAGTTCCACTTATAATACAACAAATTAAGTTTCTTAGGGAAACATTTTCTATAAAGGTCTATGAACAGAGCTTTTTAAAAATACCTCAAAATATAGAGACTCAGGATTTGGGTCGCTTCTATGGGACTGAGAAGGGTTTAAATGCTTATTATTGTCTTGTCTCTTTTGCAAATTCTGTCTTCTTTCTGAGGAAGTACTGTGTCCTCGGCGTCTGAATCCAACCTACAACCCAGGGGGAAAAGAAACTCTTATTATTTCTACAGATATTTAAGTATAACACACTTGCAGGGAAAGTACACGGAAGCATATAACTCAATGAATTCTCAAAAAGTATAAAATTTTGTTAAAAAGTTAAAATTTCTTACAAATAAGATAATTACAAGGAAAAAGGATAATTATAAGGAAAATATGAAATGTGACCCCACGCATTACCCCTTTACCCTGTACATGAACATTTCCATCAGCCTGGATTCATAGGAGCAAAACCTACAATCGAGCCGCTGCCTGCACCCATTCCCAGAGAACAGAGAAGTCAGGGACTCGAGGAGGTGGCAGGTGGCCAGGGAAGTCCACGGGGAGGGGTGGTGGTGGTGGTAGTAATTCTGTCTTCAGATTTTAATTCCTAGGGGAAAGTACTTAATAAAAGTCTTTTCAAGAAAGCAGACATTAGGAGATAAAATTCTCATTCAGCTACATCTGTTACTATTGTCCTAGCACGCGTTTGTGTCCCTCGGAACCCACACATTGAGACCCTGAATGGCGCACAATGGTACTGGAGACCGGGGCTGTGGCCTTGTGCACTGGGCCACTGCTGTCTCCCGGGCCCCGCGGCCAGCAAGGCAGCTGCTGCTCACAGCCTCGTGGCCACAGTCCTTTCCAGCGGTGGCCCTCCAAACTCTGCCCATGTCCACTCTCTGAAGGGACAGCCACACGCTGCTCTGCCTGCTGCTGCATCTAGAAGCAGCACAGGTGCACCCATGCAGTCACAAAGACTGAGAAGCAGTTCTGAAAAACCCAACCAAAAAAAGGGGGAAATGCAACTCGACCTTCATTCTTGGAGACCAAAGTCCAGGTTTAAGCTGAAGCCCAAAGACCAAAGGCCCAGTACAGCTCCAGAGGCCCAAACCCAAGCACTCAGCAGTCCTCGGAAGGCGCCGCCCATGGTGGGAAGGCACCGCCCGGCTGGGAAAGAGCCCCATGGACAGAAAGGGGGCCCGGTGAACAGGGTAAAGCAAGGACCCTTACTTCAAACTCCGATTGAACCCTCAGGATCTCCTCACGCTAACAGAACAGTGCCAGGGACGGAGATGAAGGCTGCGGACCAGGCCACTGCCTCCCTTTCTGAGGAGGACAGAGACAGAGGTGACCCAGAAACAGGAGGACAGCAAGTGTGACGGTGCACGCCAGCACTCTGGAAGCTGAGGCCGGAGGAGTGCGAGTCTGGGCCCTGCCTCAGTAACTCAGCAACCGAGTTAAGACCCGGTCTGAAAATAAAAGCAAAGAAAAGGGTCAGTGAGGCCTTGGGGCCGACCCCCAGCACCGGCCGAGGAAGGAGGCAGGACGGCGGCAGCTGCACTGCCCGGTTTGTTTGGAGAGGGTCTTACTACGCTGCGCAGACTGACCTCGAACCACTTGGGCTCAAGCGGGTGGGTCCCCTCGCCGCAGCTGCTTGAGCAGCTGGGACTACAGGTGGCACCACCACATAGGGCTCCGAACATCTGCGCAGGAAACATGCTCCAGCGTTCGGGGGCTGCCCCTCTATACGTGTGCAGACTGAAGGCCAGTGGAACAAGACGGGAACCTCAGGAGCAGATGCCAGTGCACGGGAAAGCCCAGCAGGCGGACTGGCACTCCGCCCACATCAGTGCAGAGGACCCTTCCAGTAAAGGACGGCAGACTGGGGCAGTGACCTAGGCGACACTGTGACAAGTTCACAGACCACACGAGGGCCGAGACAGCGCTCCAGAAATCCAGGGCACACCACACCACGGAGGAGCTGCGTAAATACACACAGCAAGGCAGCCCTCTGGGCAGAAATGCAGAGACAACAGCCAGGGAGGGCTGGGCATGCCTGGGATTCCAGCGCTCAGGAGGCTGAGGCAGGCGGACTGCTGAGATTCAAGGCCAGCCGGAGCTACACAGCCAGCCCTGTCTCCAAAAAGAGAAAAGGAAAGAAGTGATAGAAACCACTCCAAGGTCTACCACTAACACAGAACAGAGAGGACACGCGACCTTTTATGTAAGAAGAGGACAGGGCCGCAGGATTCATCCTGGTTTCAGCAACAGTGACAGAAGACGCAGGAAACTAGTCCAAGGCGGACGGGGCAGGGGACAAAAGGGGACCAGGGAAAACAAGGTGTTCCACTGCATAATCTTTTTCATCTGTTTTTCAAACTATTTACAAAATAAAATCATTTTATAAGATGTTAGGTCTTAGACTCCTTCCATAATTTAAAATTAAAGCTACAGTAAAGTACAGAAATGACTGAAGTACAGTATGAAATGTTAAAATACTAGAAAAATGGTTAAAAATCACTATAATTCAGCAGACTGGTTTAAGTGTAAAAATCTGATAGGAAGAAAAGACAAGAAATAGAATCTAGGATATAAGAATTAGCACATAGCAAAATAGAAAAACAACCAGCAGAAGAAATGGGTTACAAGAAAACAGCTCATTAATTACTTTCAAAATCTACACTGGCATGTTTTACCAGATATCAAGATAAAGCTCAGATGAAAATGTCTTAAACTATGACATACATGGTAAAAAGCAGAAAATACAGCTCTTTGTCTTTTAAAAGTCTAAGATTTTTAGAGTTTAAAAATGACCAAAAACTGCAACCAGAAATCTTTTTACCTAAAAGAAAACATGATTCTGTATCTCAAAAAAACCAACCAAACATATACTGGAAAGTACTGGAGATAACAAAGCATCAGAAGTGGGAGAGAAAACAAACACTTGGTCGGCAGCTGACTCCATTCTTCAAGAGGAGCGACACGAAATAAACCACGCACTGCAGGGACGGGAGGAGGGACACAAAATAAACCACGCGCTGCAGGGACGGGAGGAGGGACACGAAATAAACCACACGCTGCAGGGACGGGAGGAGGGACACGAAATAAACCACACGCTGCAGGGACGGGAGGAGGGACACGAAATAAACCACGCGCTGCAGGGACGGGAGGAGGGACATGAAATAAACCACGCGCTGCAGGGACGGGAGGAGGGACACGAAATAAACCACACGCTGCAGGGACGGGAGGAGGGACACGAAATAAACCACACGCTGCAGGTACTTGCTTAAATCCCTCTCTTTCACCACGGTTCTTTCACCATGTTTGACAAGTTAGGAGACAGAGACCAGACGTTTCCCTCTGAGGATTACTTCTTCTCCGGGGGCCACTGACACTAACAATACCAGGGCAGAGCCAGAATTGCTAAGACCAGCAGGCACCCTCGTGACAGAGGGCTCCAGCATAAGTACACAATCCGGAGTCCTATCCAGTCCATACAGAGGACCGTTTCAGCTCTTCTGCTTTACCCAACAAGACCCAGGGCACAGGGCGGTGCACTGTGCAGATGGTGAGCCCTGGGTACCTGGCTCGGACTCTGCCCATCTGCAGATGGAGTCATGTGACCGCCTCACTTCCTAACTAGATTTAAGGAACCAGGAGCACTTTCTAAAATGAAATGTAAGACGCTGGACAATCAGTAATTCCCGGGTTCACAGCCAACGAAGGCAGTGACCGGTGGCTCGGGGAGGGAGGCATGCAGCCCCCTCTGCAGCTGCCCCAGCTCCACGAGGGTGTCAGGAAGCCATGTCCTACATAGTGAGGCCCAGGGCAGCCACGGTCACAGCATTGCCACTAACATAGATAAGCCTCACCGTAGGGGAAACTGCAGTCCCCAAACTCAAAGACCAATGTTTAAGGCATTCAACACTTTTAAAGCCGGCATGGTGGCACACGCCTATTGTCCCAGCACTCAGGAAGCTGAAGCAGGATGATCATCATGAGTGCAAGGCCAGTCTGGGCTACACAGTGAGTTCAAGGGCAACCTGCACTACAAAGTGATAACCTGCCTCAGGTTAAAGCAGTAAAACAATGCTTTAGAAATTTTATGTGGGAAGAAAAAGATGCCAATAGATGCTGCAGCAATAGGTTCCTCTTTTTAAAACTATGAAATAGTCAACTACTGAAAAGGGTATAACCAGTAGTTAACAGTCAGCTAGTAGAAAAATGGTGTGATAGGTACCCACATACTTCCCTCATAAGTCCAACACTATGCTACTTGGTTTCATTATTTAAGTACATTTTATTGGCCAAGGCATTTTAAAGTTATAGATACTATGATTGTTCACTTTGAAATAAGGCACAGCTCCAAAAATTAAGCACAGTCTTCCATAATTACTACACCATCACTGTAACAGACTGAAATGAAGTCACCCATCTAGCCAGGTTTCTCCACGCTAACTCGACTTGCCTGTGAATTATTCTTTTGTTCAGTTTGCCTTCCTCCTCTAGAAAATGTCTGATTTTTTTCCATCCAAGGTTTTTTCTGAGTTGCCTGGCAAGTTACATTGGACCAATTTACACCACCTGTAAGAAATATTTAAAGAGATCAAAGATATGATTTGCTTATAGAGTGAAATCTAAAATGCCTTGTAACTTCATTTACTGAAATTAAGTCAGGAAAATGTTTTGTGTCAGCTCTAAGCTCTTAGTGACACCAACTCATCTTTCTGGAAACCTCCAGCTGGCATTTTTTCCATTTGTCTGGAAATATTATACTTTCAATTAAGGTGATAACCTGAAAGATTTATAGACTTTTCCCTTTTTTTCCCCCTAGCACCAGCAAGGCTCATACTTAAAACCTATGACATGGACAAAGAAGAGAACAGAGCAAAAACACTCTGCAAAAAATAAGTACCTGAACATATAGATGATTCCCCGTGCTAGAAAGAGAAACAAAACAGACAATTACTTCCTGCTCACAAGTCAACATAATATACTCTGCAATAGGTTCCATAATTCGTCTTGTGTGAGGGACACTTGGGATAATCTGAGGGTCAGCCCCCATATGTTTTCATTGTTGATACGGCTTGCACCTAGAGGTCCTTCCAAAGCCACGTGCGGTCAGAGGCAGCTGGATCTACAGGGTGTGACCCTGGCTCAAGGCCGTGTGATTAATGAATTAGCCCACCAAGTGGGGTGGCGCAGTTCAGGTGTGGGAAATGGGAAGGCCACCCTCGTCCTGGGTGCGAGTGCTGCAGGCCTAGTGTTTGCAGCCCGGCTAGATTACAGGGGACAGAAGAGGGCTGCTGCTCGCACTGCTGCTTGCTGCCTTCTGCCCACCATGAACTGCTTCTCCCCACTGTGCCCCTCTGCCACCCCACCTGCCTTGGAGCCCGCTGCGGACTGAAACCACTACGAACCGTGAACCACAGCGAACCTCCCCTTCCTCCTTAACTTTGGGGGTCGGGCATTTTGTCTCAGCAATGAGAAAAGCAGCTGAGGTCCCTCCGTGACTACCTCGCTGCACCAGGAAGAGTCAGCAGCAGCAGCCGCCACCCAGCGTCCCCAGAGAACCCAGGCACACGTACACCTGCAGTCCCTGGATCCAGGCCTCTCAAGGCCCCGGCCCCGGGCTGGTTGTTGTGCTTGGGGCTGCAGTAACCGCTGTCACTGTCAATGTCGGCCTCACTAGCGCCCTGCTCGCTAGAGGACTCAGCTGCGGGGTGAGGCGCTCTTCTCCTCCTGCCCTTGGTCTTCCACAGCATGGCAGCCGTGCTCTCCGACAGGGACTTGTCCGCAATGTCGGTCGGGAAATCTGCAAGGTAAGGAAGCACCACGACTCTGTGAGCACCGGACTGGTCACTTCTGGAATGGAAGTTATAAGAAAATGAAATGACAAGGCTGGTGTGGAGCGCACACCTGTAAAGCCAGCACTCTGTGAGGCTGAGGCAGGAAGATCACAGGTTTGAGTTCAACCTGGGCAACTTAGACAGAACCTGTCTCAAAAGAAAAGAATGAAACAAGGTTTGGAAATGGAGCTCAGTGCAAAGGCCACGGGTTCAATCCCTAGTACCACATACACACACAGAGGGGGAAAGGAGGGAGGCAGGGAGGGTGAAGGGAGGAGAGAGGGGGGAGGGAGAGAGGAGGGAAGGGAGAGGGGAAAGGAGGTCGAGAGGGGAGGGAAAGAGAGGGAGGGGAAAGAGAGCCCAGCCCCTCACCCAACCTGAGCAACTCAGTAACTTAGTGAGACCCCATTTCAGAATTAAAACACAAAAAGCCTGGGGGTACGGCTCAGTGTGAAGCCTCTAGGTCCAGCCCTCAGCACGGGGGGGGGGGGGGGGGGGGGGGGGTGTTGCTCACTTGGGTTTTCATTTGCATTTCCCCACTTACAAATGAGGCTAAGCAAATAAGCATACTCTGTAATGCTTTTAGTCACTAACAACTTCTTTGTGCAAAAATTTTTGTTAATTTTACTTTTGTATTATTTGATTCCTCCTCATTTTTCTGAGTTGTTTATTATTTTTCTATTTTATAAATTATAATTACAGCTAAGTGTGGAGGCACATGCCTCTAATCCCAGTACTCATCACCATATATCCCCAGCCTGAGCTACATAAGTGAGTTTAAGGCCAGTCTGCAATACACAGTGAAACACTGTCTCAAAAAAAGGGAAAAAAATATACAAATTATTTCTAAGCATATTGCAAGTTTTTCTTCTCCACATCTCTACCCACACCTGACTGTAACAGGGACATGACTTAGCCTTGTGCTCTGTAACATGCCACTTGTTATGATTTCTTCATAATTACACAAGAAGCCTCCTAGTCCGTGGAGTGGTCCCCTGTATTTTTTCTATGATTTTTTTTTTTTTTTTTTTGCATCAGGGATCAAATTCATGACCTTGTGCTTGCCAGGCAGGCACTTATGCTGCTAAGCTAAATCCCCAGCCACATCCCCTGTATTTTTATAACCAGTCACCTGCTAAAGGACAGTAAAAAGGCTTCAGGGTTCTTGTATCATAACAACGTGCTGGGAATTGAACCCAGAGCCTGAACATGCTAAGTAAGTACTCTATGCCTTAGCTACATCCCGCACCTTTTATTTGGAAATGGGAGTCTCACTGACTGGCCTTGACCTTGTGGTCCTCCTGCCTCAGCCTCCTTAGCAGCTGGAATTAGAATAATAAGCACTTTAAGTCACACAGTCTCCTCTCTCTCTGAGAGAAGACTCCACCTGGATACATTCACAACAGGGACAGCTGCCACAGCCCTGCCAGGCTGGCTTAGTCTCTGGTACTCTGTTCCATAGGACCCAAGGGCAGTGTAGCACCGTTTTCTTAGTGATTCTTGTGAGTTCTTTATCTCACACAACTCCTTGTGAGGGTTTTTAACATGGCCAACAAATCTGTCCATGTTACATGGTAGAGTATTTTTACAAGCTGGCTTGTCATTCACTTTTTTTAGACAGGGTCTCCCCATGTAGCCCAGGCTGGCTGTGACTTCAAAGTGGTCCTCGTCAGCCTGCTGAGTGCTGGGGTTGCAGGTATACACCACCTCGCCCAGTGGTTCCTCACTGTTAGTGAGGATTGGCATTCTTGGTTTTAGAAGTAGACTGTCCCTGCAGTCACACAAACATCTGCTTCAGTTTCTTCCATCAGTTTCTTTTCCCAAAGAAATCACAAGCCAATTTGGGATGGATCTCAGGGGGTGTAAGCTAGGGACCAACACACTATGCCTGGCATTCTCCACATGCATTTCCTGCACACACACAGCGGAGTCTCCAGGCTATCCATTTAGCCTACCCACACTGATAACAGAACCCCATGGGCACTAGCCTGGCTTTAAATGGTATTCCCTAAAGGAGAAGCTCTTTCCCAGGGACTTCTCAGTTCTCAGACTACTGCTTTGTCTCACAGTTCCCCTGTCAAGCTCCCCAGAAGTTCCTGCTGGGATTTCCACCAACCCCACAGGGCTCTCTGCACACTGACTGGGGAAGCTGGCCTTTGCCAAACCAAGACACCCTGCAGGGACATGGTATCCAGGTTTGCTTGAGGTCCTACCCTGAAGCCTTGGGTTTTCTGCATCTGTGCCTCCCATGTTCGGAGGATTTATTCGTGGTAACTCTATTTAGTCTATTTAGTCGCTTTGCAAATGATACAATGTCTTCAATCTTGTTTGGTTGGCATACTGAAATGCAGTGAACTTTTCCATGTGACCTTACAGCTAGCCATTTATTGAACTCTTAATACAAGCTTATGTTCAGAAGAAAAAATTTGTTATGAACAGATCTAGAGTATTCTTATGAAACCACAATATTTAATTCCCTTACTGATTTTAATAACTTCTCAGAAACTAAAAACAAACTAAAGAACAAAAGTGCTGACTGAAGAAAAAAGTGCTGACAGCAGCACAGCCTCCCACTCAGATTCCGCCTAGATGCTTCCCCTCCGCTCCACTTCCGAAGGCGCGGACCGCTGCAGGGTCCTTAATGAGCCACTAAAGTGGTAAAGGTCACCTTTAAAGTAAAACCTTCCCGGGCTCAAAAGGACACAGAAGTGGGTCACAGGACCGAGAATAACCAACAGAGAGACCTTAGGGCTGCCTTACTGCTTGACTTCCTTCTCCCACTTTGCATACCAGGGACTGCACCACTGCCAGTCCCATCCCTGGCCCAGCACCTAGTGATTCCTCCCGTGGCTACTCCAAGCTTTTACCAGAGTTACACTTGCTGCTTTGTACCATGCAGACCATACGGCAACTGCTCTATCAACCAGACAGTTGTCAACCACTTCCCTGGGGGATCTATGTGAGTTCTGTAAGAGGATATACAAACAGACAGCCTGCAGAAAGGCACAGCCGGCAGAAAGGCAAGCCCAAGGGAAGGAAGCTGAGCTGGGAGCCTGCCTTACTCATTTCCACCCAGAAGTGACTTGAGTGAGGCTGAAGAAACAAAAAGCAATCATACTGTGAAGGGCCCTAATCCCTGACCTTGGACCACTGACAAGGATCTTTCAGTAGTGTCAGCAGTACCAGGGGAGTGCAGACTGCTAAAACGGCTATCTACCCGACCAACGAGAAACTGAAATAAGAGACACAGGTTGGAACTGCACAACAGAAACTCCGAAATCTAGGATAGTATTATCCAGTGTTTGAGTAGGGCTTGTTTAATTGGACTTATATGTATTCTTAAAATGTGTAAATAATTACGTGACTTACTGTAAAACACTACTTTTTTGATGGGATACAATTATCATTTACGGATTTGGTTTAGATCTATAGGAAACTTCCTAAATTCTTTCTATGAAGATGTTACAGAGTGTTAGAATGTTTCAGAGGGCTTTGATCTAGTTATAAGGACATGTACAACTTTTATTTATACCAAAGTGAGCCCCTCGAGTCTGCACAGCATCTGTGCAACTCTCTCTCTGATTTCTGAACTGTACCCCTACTACACAGGGACAGAAAACCCCAGAATCCCACTCAAAAGGGCATGAACTGGCAAGTAAGTTGGAAGAACACTAGGGACAGGACAGCTTCCTGCTTCCTACAGAATTTGCCCTGCAGCAGGGCAAACGAGGGGTGGCATCTGGAGCCCTCTGAGGAGCACGGCCACAGGGACTGCAAGCACAGAGACGCCGGGGAACCCCTGCCTTACCAGTCTGCTGTGATGCGTCCACCAGGAGCACGATTTTGGACCGGTTATCGGGACCTGCTGCATTAGTTTCCTTCTGAGTAGCGACATTTTTCACCAGTGGCCTTTTGCTTTTTATGTGCTGTTGTAAAAGCTGTTGCTGATATATGTTTGGAAAAAAAAAAGGGAACATGTTCAATGAAGGAAACATTATAAAACACATCTATAACCTACGCATCCAAATGTATGCAGTGAATTAATGGCTTGAGACCCACAGGGACACAGGGCTACTGAATGAGAGTTCTGTGCAATTATCTGCAGGCAAGCGTGACAGGCTAAATAACCTATCACACATACATCTATACTCTTTTTTTCAAGTAGCCATCAACACTGCTACTATAACTTAAATGAATTTTTTTATGTACATTTTAAAATTTTCTCAGTTGATAATAAATAACAAGGGCATAATTTTCACTCAAAAGAATAATAAAAAGCATTGCAAAGTACCCCAAGATTAAATTTTAGTTTCATGACAGTAACAACGTGCAAAAATCCTTTTTGTTTTCCAGTTCAAAAAGGAAAAAGTTGATCCCAAGCTGGACAGGCAAGGCATAGCTAAGATCTAGCAGTCTGGGCCCCTGAGGCAGGACTGCAAGTTCAAAGCCAGCCTGGGCAGTTCAGTAATCCAAGGAGACTTGAAATCAAGGGGCAGGAGAGCTGCGGAATGCTCGGTACATGTCCTGGGCTCAATTCCCAGTAGTACCACTCCCCCCACCCCGAAGAAACATCCAAACTCTTCCTCACTCTTTAAAATATGAGCATTCACTTTACAGCAATTTACATAACAGAATTCTAAATTTAACTGCTTTGATTTTCTAAACTGAACTGTTGGCAATACATTCAGAAAAATCATGTTCTTTGAACAACTGGAAATTATATACCATAATCTCATTTTCAGTAGTTGTTTCTTCTCATTCTCAAAGGTCATAAAAGGATTTCCCTTGACCCAAAGTGTTTCCGTGAACAAAAATACAAACTTTTTAAAGTAATCTTTGCTTGCAAGTAATCAACTTGTAAAAGTTATTCCAGGCGGCAGCAGAGACTTTCCGGGGAGCATGCTGGGCCAGCGGTCCAAGGACAGGGCTTCCCCCACTCCAAATGCTGGCCAGAAAGGCTGTCTCAAAGGTGTAAATAAGGGCCCAAATGTGTAACAGGTACTGTGAAATGGGAAGGAAAGGTTAAAGTGGGAAGGGGAACAAGGGAAGGAAGAGGAAGAGAGAAAAGGAAAATGAGAAAAAAGGGACAATGGAAACAGAGCGCCTGTGAGTGGGGATAGGAGGCAGTGCTCAGGCTGGGCAGGGAGCGGGGGAAAATTAAACAAGTTCTGTCCAGTACAGGTTCAAGTTCTCTGGGATGAATTCCCAGGGTCATTACATGTACCAATAAAATGTGATGGGAGGAAAAACAAGTATGAAATGGGGTTCCCCCCTCACCAACTGCGGGAGGCCGGCCTCGTCGAACAGCAGCCACACAAGGGCAAGGGCCGGGCTTTCCCCCTTCCTTTCTTCCCTTTGTTTTTAACTTAGCCAAAGGGCTGGCCCCAGATAAAGTGCTTCCCACCTATGCTGAGAGCCCTGTGAGACCCTTTCAGACCCCGCACCTCTGACATAATAAAGTAGGGTCTCCGAGGATACTCGATGAAGCTGCAGGGGCCAGACGGCTCCCTGGTCCTTCCCCACTGACTCAGAAGAACACACACCCTGATGTGTGTGAGCCCGGGGCTCGCTTATGAAAGCGCTGTCACCACACAGTTGTCATCGCTACATTAAACTCAAGACTACCATCAGCAACAGAAAGCCCAGGTTGAAAGCTGTCACTTACTTTTGGAGTGGCGGGCCCCCGGCTGCTGTCCCGGCTCCGGTGGCCGGGCAGCGGGAAGACCTGGCCCAGCGGGCTGGGGCGCTCGGCGCGCTCTGCGGCCACAGCACTGACCGCGTTGGCGGCCTGGAAAGCGCTGGAGTATGGCGCAGGGAAAGGGTGGTAGAAGCCCATCACCTGGGCGCAGGGCGCTGGCATCAGCTGGTAATACGTGTACTCCGCAGACACAGGCGGCTGAGCAGACAGAATGGGGTAGGCAAGGTATGGTCCAGCAGGGCTGGGACTGGGTGGCTGCCATCGTATGTCATTATTATATAAAGGAAACTGTCTGCAAAACCAAATCCAAAAAGAACAGATCTATTCACACAGCTAAACATGAGGCTAACGTGAAATTGCTTATCTTTTTAATAAAAGGAAAAAAGCACAGAACAGTGGATCACAACAATAAGGAAAATAAAATTACTCCTACTATCTAAGTTTCCCGGCTGTAATTAGAGATCACCATGGACCTGTAATAACCATTTAATGGCAGTAGAAAGGAATCTGACAGCTCTCATCAGTCAGTCTGCCCCCAACCACTGCAGGACACTTCTACCTAATGGGTAAGCAGCTGGCTGAGGGGCTGCAATGACAGCCCTGAGCCAGCTCTGATGCCATCGCCAGGGAAAGGAGCACTGCGCAGGGTGCCTCCTCCAGCTCTCCTGTGGCAGCCCCGCTCCAGCCACCCACTCTGCTCCCACTCTCCCCAAAATAAACGGCCAAAGCCGACTTTTTGCCTGGCTTCTCTCCTGGGCAGCAGAACAGGCCCCAAGTCTAAGCAAGGCAAGCCTCTCTGCAAGTGCCTTGCAGAAGGTGGCTGCAAGTGTGGGGTGAGGCCATGACAAAACCAAGTAGAAAAATGTTCACTCGCATGAATTCTGACAGTGTTAAAAACAACCTGCTGGCTGGCTTGCTCAAAGATGATAAGGTGCAGCAAGGAAACATTTGTCAGACTGCATACTTGGTCATTTTGTCCAACAGAAAAACAGTAGTATTAAATTTAGTTTGCACCTCACCTGGTACATTACTCAACAGGTGGAAGAGTTTAAATACAATGCTAACTTCCCCTGGAAGGATCCCTTAGTTTCTACTTGTCTACCCTTCGAGGTGACTACGAATCTCAACAGATGTAGCTCAGTGCAAAGGCACTGGGCTCAATTTCTAATGCCACTTTTAAAAAACTTCAGACCATGAACTGGTACACTGAATATCTGAAAAGGTAGTTTAGAGCCTCATAAATCCTGCATGCAGAACTTCTCCCAGAATGTGCAACACACATCTCCATGCCCCAGTTACAGCTGTGTGGAAACATGATTGCTCCAACCCTCGGGGATAGCTGGGCAGAGTTCAGGGACAGCGGGTGCCTCACCCAAATCCCACATGCAGCACAAGGACTGTTTTCTGCGTGTGGCACCACTTGAAAAAGATCTACACCACCTGTGCACAGCAATAAGCTGCAGTCCTACACACCAGTGATGTACCCGCCGCCCAGTCCGAGAGGGTCAGCAGGGCTACCATGACTCTTCAAGTCATACCCAGACCCCAAGTCACCCAGGGTATAGGTGGCAGGCTTTCTGCTAGACCACACTGTGACTCCAGCACGGACAGACACCAGAGTCTAGAAACGAGTGCAGGGGAACCTGGAACCCTCGGAAGTTAGAGAGCATCCCTGGATACTTTCTCAGGCCAGAGGCTGTCACAGCAAGAACGAGATTAGACAGCAAACCTCTGACAAGGCTTTCTGAATATTTTATTTCTCCCTTTGGGTCTACCTGTTTTAAGTAAATTTCAATGACTTTTAATAAAAGGGACGTACTCCCAAAAATCTATTTCCTTTAGAAAGAATGACGAACTAAGCCATGTTTAAAATGTTCAACATTAGTGCAGTATGGGGCCCACACCTGTCATCCCAGACCAGCCTGGCTTATGCAGTGAGTTCGAGGCCAGCCTGAGCAAGGTTGATATTACTGCTTCACTCACCTCTCTTAAAAGAGAGAAAAGACAAAGCCTGCAAGCATGCCTGGCCAAGCCTCATGCTCCCCGCCGCCACAGAACATGATAAAGACAGCAGTGAGGAAATTACCTATTAGACTGGTTTTCCTGGACGAATGGGTAGCAGGTGATCAGGTAGCTGGGAATGGGAGTCGGCTCCACACCAGCCACGCCGCCCCCGTCACCCGGCAGAGCCATGGGGATCAGGAACGGGTCCGGAGTCTTCTTCTGGGGGACGAACGGCTCTACTTCCGCCGAGAGCTTGACATTCTTCAGAGAAGGGCAGAAGGACCAAGAGCAGATCAGTGACACCTCAATACAACTGACCGCTCAACAGCAGGTCGGTCACATAGTCTCCCCTAAGCACCCACAGAACCCTCAGGTGAGCAGTGACCCCGACGCACAGACGCACAACAGCTGGATGCAGCTATGTGGACAGAGCCAGCAGTAAAACAGGGGACAGCTTATCAAAAATGATTCAATAATCTCGCTTACATAACCAAAGCTGCTAAAGCAATCAAAGAGCACAAGGAAGTCATATCTCAGCATCTAAAAATAAAGCTGGCAGTTAAGGAGTCTAGCTCTCCAGGCAAAACAATATGTTTTTAACTAATTTTATTAGAGGAAAAGATCATTAACCACTTTTAAAGGATAATTGAATTTGTTTGAATACTCTAAAAAACAGCCTATTTCTGTCCATTTCAGGAAATTACGATTTGCATTGTTAGGTTAACAGAAAGGAGAATGTATAAGATGAACCAAAAAACACGTAACATATGGGAAAGAACTCTGGTTCACAGTTAACCTGGAGGAAAAGCAAGAACAACGTCAGTGTCCCGCAGACACATGAGCGAGCTGAAGCCCTTCACCGTGTGCTCCACCTCAGTCTCCTCTGAGCCTTTCCTCGGAACAAACCTGGACAGGGACCCCGCTGAAGAGGAACCTACAACTAGGAAGAGGCAACCAGACAGCTTTTAGGGTGCTGGGTGCAGATCCCCGGCTAGACGGGGTGAGATTTACACAGTGTTCTCTTTATAATGATTATTCATAGTTTATGTTCTGTTTAACAAGGTCAGACTTTCACATTATAAAAAAACTATACATATATTCTGCAAACTACATAAATATTATAATCTAAAAAGATATTAAACAGGTTTTATAAAACAAGTAGGAACCACCCAACCCAACGTTCTAATCATGGGAGACGACGATCCTAGAAGCAATGGTCTCAGCTGGAACCTTTCGCCAACAATCACACCCGTAACAGCTGGTGGACGCTGCCAGTTGCAGTGCTTGTAGTTTCCAAAGTCACTGCAGTGTGACTCTGCAGCCTTCGGTACCCACTACCTTCTGCATAGTTCTTACTTCTCACAAAAGTAGTCCGGAACAAACCTAAAGACAACACTGGATACATCTGACATACAGTTTTTTCAGGAAAAAAGTTATCTCAAAACACTCCACTGACCCAACGCGGTGGCACATGTCTGTAATCCCAGCACTAGGGAGGCTGAGGCAGAAAGACCACCGCAGGTTTGAGGCCAGCCTGGGCTAAAGTAAATTTAAGGCCTGAACTGCGCAGTGAAACCCTGTCTGAAAACACACACACACACACATACACATACACACACACACACACACACACACACACACTAGTCTACTGTAAATATCTGAAAATTACTCAAGGGAGGTGGGAGAGAAGACAGAAGTCTCAACTATGTAACAGTACTAATTCAACATCTTTTCCTGTAACCTGACTTAACTTCAAAATCAAATTTGTACCATTAAATCAAGTCCGAAGTCACTGGAGTAATAACACAAATGTTTGTAAACTGAAGTTAGTTTCTTGATTTGAACATAAGGCAGATAACAACTTCAAAGGCTAACAATATAAGCTAGCAATTCTCAGTGATACTCATCAGAACTCAAACTCATTCAGCTAGAGAAATATAGAGAGTGTAACTCATCAAATTAATAAGAGCTTCATCTATGAGGGAAAAAAGCTGGCTTTCAACAATAATCACAGACCATGGAAACTTGCTTTACAAAGTTCACACAGGTGCATGAGAAGAGGGAAAACAAATGACACTTTAACTGCAATAAAAATGGAATTTTTAGAACTTATTTTAAAAATAAAAAAGTTCTTTTGAAATGAGAATTTTTAATAGTTTTATAAATCTAGACTAATATATATTAGGTTTTCTTTTTTTAAAAAAAAGATAGGAATGTGAGTACATAGTCTACAATGAAAAATAGAGTCACACTAATAAAAGTAATTTTTTACAAAATAAGATAAACATGTAACAAAAATAACATATTACTGGAATCCTCAGCCTTGGAACCAAGTAATCAATGATTCAGTCACAGCATATTAAAATTCTTGTTCAGGTCAAAGATTACAGCAAACTTTGATACCTAGTTTCATTTGCACTTTACTAAAACATTTTATGGATTGAGGCAATCCACTGTTCAAAATGTATCATACATAATTCACAATCAGTGCCAATATATGGGCACAGTACAGTACATATCTTTAAAATATTAAAGCGTGAATTGGTTTCTATCTTTAGTGCACTGCAGATATGAGAGTTCAACAATAAAACTCACAAACTCTGAGATGAGCCTTTGTTTTTTAGAGAGAGAAGGAGAGAGAGAAAGGGAGAGAGAGGCTACTAGAGCTGACAGCTGCACAAAAGGAAGATGTCACTAGCAGGAACAGAGTAACCACCATGGCTTCCAAAGTCACTTATTGTGACTCTGCGGTCTTCAGTATCTATTGTTTATCAAAATGCACCACCTTCTACACTCAGGCCAAAGAGCAATGGCAAAATCACAAATGAGTCTTAAATTCCACATTTAAAAAAAAAACCTACCTGGCAAACACGAGGTCTTAAGTTCCATCCCCGGTTCCAAAAAAAAAAAAAAAAAAAACCCAAAACCTACATAGATAATAGACAAGTAACAGAAGCTAGCAATACTTTGAGTATAAAAAATAAAAAGCCAATGAAAACCGTCTTGCAGTAACAAATAGACCAGTCAAATTACACAAGAGTATCCCTTTGTTGGAATTTCTAGGTTGAGCCTCAACTTCTGCCATGGCTTATTTTGGAAGAGGATCAGAAATTTTACTGCCGAGAGTTGTTTTTTAAAGAAAATATAAATATGAAACAAGTGTAAGCTACACTGCACACAGTTCTGATCATTTTTGTACTACTATCTGCTTCAAGAAACTCAACTATCTACATAAAAATATCCTTCAGAAATTTCTAATTCTTCCAAGTTTATGAAAACGCAAATTCCAGAAATCTGTCTTTGCAAAAATTCCTGTCATTTCCACCCATTTTAAATTGTGTATACATTTAAGCAATTATCAACAAGAAATCTTTAATGTGAATAACACAGGAAACTGAAGACTCAGCACACAAAATTATTAAACCTTTGGTCGGAAGCATTTATAAGCAGCTGAGTGCAAGGGGGCAGGCCAGTAAAGCCTACACTTGCTCACGAGGCTGAGGCAGGAGGGGCCCTGCATCTGATCCGTCTAGAAATAAACACTGCAAAGGGCTGTTACCTACAGGAGTGGGTTAAGAGGGGTTTCCTAGACACAGGCAGGAAAATGCTGACGGCCAGCGAAACTGCACAAACACGCACGCAGCTCAGGCCCAGGAGGAGCACAGTGGCACAGATGAGGGACGCAGGCGTCACCAAGAAGTCCTACACGCAGCTCCCGGAACAGCACCCCCAGCAGAAGGCCTGTCATCCCCAGACGAGGCAGCACAGGAACGACGCCCACTGCAAACCCAAGCTGGGGAGAGCAGAGTGCAGGATGCACTCACACCCCCTACACCTAGGCAAACACCAAAGAGTGGCTCCAGGGTCTTGGACATCTTCCGAAAGAAACGCCCTGCCTTCTCTCGGCCGTGGCTAGCGCTGGACACGCACCCCTGTGCACCAACAAACGCAGAGCCGAGGTCTCAGCTGCTCCTGCCCCTGCTCCGCGGTGCCCTTGCCGCCCTACTCCCCCAAGCTCTGGGCCGGCTCTGGCTGTCCGATGTCTGAGTCGTTTTCATGCTGGTTTTCTTTTCCCGCTTCGATGACGCTGCCCCTGAGCTTCCTGCCCCAAGAGGGTCATTTATTTTCCCTCCAAACTGTAGAGGAACTAAAGCATCTGTGACTACACATTTGCCTCTAAGAACAGTGTCGGCCCTATCTCAGGGTTTCTTTTTTTGCTTATTGTTACTTTTTCAATGACCTATCCGTGTATTTTAAATTTTTCTCTTTGACCTGAAGGCTTGAAAATGTGTTTTAAAATGATATTTTCTCTAAAATGTATTTACTTTCTGATTATAAAAATAGTCTTTAAACACCTTTCAGAAAGTACTATTTTAAAAATCTGGTAAGCTAAGTAATGTATACACACCTATTTGTAAGGGCCAACTACAGGCCACATATGCATAAGAAGTATTTTATAGTAACTTATCTAAAACAGCGGTCCCTCGCCTCCAGCAGGGCTGGCTTCAGGCTCACCCTGCTCACTAAAGCCCCAGACTGCCGGCTACCTCTGTAAACCAGCCTCGAATTTGCATACAACCTTCACACATCCTCCTGTAACCTTTAAATCCTCCTTAGCCACTTCTAATACCTGGCACAATGCAATCACTATGTACACAGTTGCTACACAGACTGAGGAAAAAAACCTGTCTGCGCTCCATAACGACCCAATCTCCCCACCAAAAAAAAATCTTCAATTCACAGTTACTGGAAGACAAGGAGGACTGACAATCCTGAGATATGCAGGATTGACATACACTTAGTTTGGAGCACTCAAATAAGTCTATAAATGATTTAAAGGCCAAGCAACTTTGTATTCTTATTGCTGAACAACACTGCATTAAATCACATGTAATGTTTACATGCTTTTTTCCCTAAGAATTAAAGATGTTAATAACCAGTAATCCTGTAAATTCCTTTAAAAGAATTACCTAATTTTAATATATGAAAAATTAAGGCAACATTTACATTTGTAATAAGAAATTGTTAATTTCAAGTATTCTATCACTTAGAAGCCCACTGTTTATTTTAAAAATGTCAAAACAGTGTCCTGTATTTCCTAAAATAGAGGCGCTGAGCCTTTATAAACAAAGTGAACTCTGCGATTTATTCTTCACTTCCCTTCACTCAGGCTATTCTTTTTTTTTTTTTTTTTTTTTTTTTTTTTGTCTTTTTCCTTTTTATTGGTACCGGGAATCGAACTCACGACTGCCTGCTTGAAAAGCAGGCACTTATGCCACTGAGCTAAATCCCCAGCCCCTGCAGGCTATTCTTTTTAAGAAAAAAAAAATGCATCACATCACGTAATGTCTGATCTTAGAACACAAAACTCTGACAGTGGAAATCTCCCTGTTCTGATTTACGTTGTCTTTTAAGATTCTCTTTTGGCTGTAACAGTCTTTCAAACTGTCACCTCTGCAAGTAAGCCAATCCACCTGGCACTGTACTCTCAATGACTCACTTTTTATAATCTTGATCAACATATACAAAGTTGATCTTTTTTTACAGATGTTATATAAAAACCTAATCTGCAATTACAGCACTACGAAAGCCTTGAACACAAACTGTTGAGATTTTCATAAAAATTACACTTGTGCAGTCCTCTTAAGATTTCACTTGGGTAAGAAGAAGGGAAGTCTGCATTAATTCTATTTATTTTTAAACAAACACCTATGAATTGCTAACAATTATAACATTAGAATGAAGTTTTAACGCTGTAGGCATTTCCAGAATTTCTGACTATATGGTAAAATTGGTTTGACAGGAAAAAACAGCATTTTGTGAAAAAACTAAAGATTCTCAACATATACTTTTTAGTGACTTACCTATCTAAATTCATTTCAGTAATAGGAAAATACAAGTATATTCCAAGTAACCTAAAAAAAGAAGAACCATAAAGTTCTACGGTATGGTGGAATGAATACAGAATTTCACAAAGCTGAGAAAGCTCAGACTCTCCCTTATCTAGAATTAAGTTAATGGTTCTCAACGTTTTTTCAGTAAAGGAGGCCTCTCTCTGAGAATGTGCTGAAAATAATGGAATCTTGCCCCAGAAAAACACATATACAAACCGAAGCCCACTTCTACATCACCCCTAACCCCCTGAACTAACTCCTAACTTTGACTGCCTGATTTATTAGACAATAATCACATCACTTTTCTGGGCCTGTCTTTTGAGTATGTGGGAAAGTGGGGGGTTTCAAATTATTGTCCCATTTAGGATCAAGCTGAGGAAGAGGCGAGAGGTACTGACGGAAAAACTCTCAACAGAAAACTTTTTATGACTTTCTAGTCCTTGAATCTCTACAAGATTTTAAAAGGCTGTAAACTCTGGAGGCTTATGGGATGAAAGAAGGAAGAGTCTCTGCACAAACAGTCTGCTCATGGCACTTGCTGTTAAGATAATCACATGCAAACAGTGTGCTAACAGTCACCACCTAAATAGTTAATTACATTTCCTCCAGGATGAAAGGGACCCTAAGTATATACATGGCAACACTACTGGCTACAGTTCTGGCATCTTGCTGAAGGACCACAGCGTTCAACCCTTTCATTAATGACAGCACATACAAGGAAATGGTACAAGGAAATTTCCTGTGCATAGGTCAAACTTTGACAGATCAGGTATTTCTGATACCGTCAAAACATGTTTTTAAAAAATTAAACTGGACATGGCTTGCACATAAAATACTCTGGGTCACAGGAAAGTCTCTATTTGACAAGAACCCCCTGAATTTTACTTAGGTAATTCATGAGCTGTTTTAAACATAAAAACTCATTTATGTTTCACATAAAGCTTGTTTTAAAAATCAAAACTGATAAAACCTAGGAATCAGTGCTTTGCCTATTAAAAGTCTGGCTTCAAAATCAATTTAGTACAGACACAGATAGAAATGTGGGAAATCCTATCCGCTTTATTCAGGTACTAATTATCCATTTGTAAAATTAGTAGACAATTCAGTAGCCTCTTCTTCTAGGTATATTTCTAATTCATCCCTGGGCAGGATCTTGGAAGAGGAGAATGGAGAATGAACAGACTTGGACTTCATCAAATTAAATTTTTCGGAGTGATCTGAAGAGCGGGGGAAACTATTTTCGGTTATTTTTTACACTATCACTATCCGTGCCTCCCTGTACTTACTGGCACGGATAATCAGGCATCTGATGCAATTCAAAACAACACATAATGGGACTATTTTGAAAATATGAAAATGGGCTCGGAAATGCACTCCAAGCTCCTGGGGGCACCCTGAAGATACACACTCGATTAAAAAATGAATTATCACTTCTGAAAAGCAGCGAGGAGGACTGGGGCAACTGCGGCGATCATCTCTCATCTCGCGGAAGCAACCCCTCCCTGAGCCTCCGCAGACGTCGGTCCCGGGGCCGGGCCGGGCCACCCCCAGCCCCGCGCGCTTCTTCCCGGGCGGCGAGGCCGCTCGGGTCCGGGAAGAGGGCCGGGGTCGCGCCCTCCTCTCGCCCGGTCCTAGGCTCGCAGCCCCGGGCCGCGTCTCGGCCGAGCAGAGGCCCGCGTACCTGGTCTGCGGGAGCCCGGTCCATGGTGCCGGCGGCCGCGGCGGACCTGCTCTAGTCGGTGCGGAGGGTGCCCCGGGCCGCTTTCTCCATGGCCCTCCGCTGCTCCGGCGGGCTCCGCACTCCGCCGCTACCCGGGGCCGCGACGCCGAGCCGGCTACGCCACTGGCAGAGGAGGCGGGGAAGGCGGTGGCGGCGGCCCCGGGGAGGGATCATCTGGGACGGAAGCCGAGCGGGGCCGAAAGGCGCGGCGCGCAGGCGGAAATGGCGGCGCTGGGAAGCGGAGGCGGGGGGCGAAGCGGTGGGGAGACGGTAAACGGACGGGGAGCGGGCAGGCGCACTGGGCAACAGGCTGCATCGGGGAGGCCGGGAGCGGGTGCCCCAGCTTCGCGTCCACCCGCGGGTCCCGGGGCTCCCGCCCCCAGAGACCTCCTCGGCCTCAGCCTCCAAAACCACCTTTCAAGGATGCTAGAGGAGCTGTTAGCTGCCCACTTCCACAAGGTCCACGGGTCCTTCCAGTGCTGCCAGACACTGGGAGCGTGACTACGAAGGAAGAGAATTAATAGAATCCTGTCCTAAAATAACGCATAGACAGAGGAGCCATCGGAGTGAATCGCTTAGATAACTCAGGGACCATCCTGGCTCACTGGCAGGCTCCCTCCCTCCAACGTTTTTGTTTTTGTTTTGAGAGTGGGTCTCACTATGCAGTTCAGACTGGCCTTGACCTTACTTTGTAGCCCAGACTGGTCTCGAATCTGCAGTGGTCCTCCTGCCTCAGCCTCCAAACTGCTGGGATTACAGGAACACGTCACCATGCCTGGGCTCCTCCTAGGTTTTGCTCATCAGGGAGCCCTATTATCCCCAGAATCTGTGTAACACTACCCATCAGCTAAGTATGTGTTCTATGATGCTTTCTTCCCTGCGTTTCCTGATTCTTCCCATTTTTAATGGGGAGGAGTGGATCGGAAATCGAACTCAGGACTCACACTTAGCCAGGCAGTTGCTGTGCCACTGAGCTAGTTGCCAGGCCCCTTGAGTCTTCTTTTAATCTCCAAATCATTAGTTCTTGGATGGCTCAGCCTGCCTGGAAAATGGACACTTCTCTCTAGGCATCTCCAGATCTTTCTTTCTCTTTCTGCCTCTCTGTGCATCCACCCTTGCCCCAGAAGAAGGAAATACACCCTAAATTAAACTTCACTGAAGAAAAGGGTAGAGTGGCACTGGTGAGAAGATCCATGACTGGGAACAGGAAAGACAGTGTTCAGAAATCTGCTTTGTCATGTTTCACGCCATGCCACTACTAAAGACTGGGAGCTGTCTTTACACTTCATTGTTAGCCTGGGTTTGTCAGACTAAGACTTCAAGATGATCCTGGCTGTACAGTTCTAACTGTACTTGATATTGTATCTACAAAACTTAGGTCAAAGCTGCACAACAGTTGGTAAAGAGAAACATTTATACCTGTACATAGAGATCTTGTTTAATAAGTCTGTTTTTCTGTTTCCTCAATTTTAGAAAGAGAAGAATTACCTATTTTTCTATATTTCTCTCTGCAATTCCTAGCTATCTTGTTGCACATGTGTATATGTATGAATATTACAGACATGCAATTAATGCGATGTTAGGTCCTTAGAACCTACTTACTAGATGCCTAGTCAGAGTTTGGTGAATGCTGACTGCATTTAAAGTTGTCCAGAAAAACCTAAGCTGTGTATAAAGTTTAACTATGTAACTAACAGATATCTTCCTTCCCAATTGAAAGATGAAAAATGAAACTGAATTCCATGGTGTTTAGCCGTCAAAGAAGCTCCATCTGAGTAAAAACATAATAAAGCTGTCATAAAAGTCATACAGTACTTTGGGTTTTTCTTTCTGAGGAAATTTAAATATAGAATCTCCAAGCTTTCCACACTATGGGATTTTTAAACTGAAATTGTTCTCACTGAGACTTTGCTACCTGTAAGACTCTTGTTTAAGTAACAGGACATAAAAAATTCTAAGAACTACAAGAAAAATTCTTTAGGTGTGGTGCTCGCCTGTAATGCCAGCACTCGGGAGGCTGAGGCAGAAAGATTGCTTATGAGTTCAAGGCCAGCCTGGGCTACATAGTGAAACCCTGTCTCCAAAACATAACAAGCAAACAATTATAGGAATAAAACTGTCACAGTGTCCTTGTTTGATGTTATCTTAAAGAGAATGGTATCTAGTAGAAAAAAAATTATGAAAGAGAAGGAGACGTTAAAATACATTTTACAGATGGTGCAAATGAATTTAAACTAATGATTTCATTCAATAACAAGTATTTAACACATTAATACCACAGCTGTGATGCTAAGAGCTGGAAGCTCTGTGGTTAAATGAGATTCTGTGAGAGCAAAGGTCATGTTTGTCTTGTGGGCAAGACACATACAGCTGCCAGTTACAGGCGAATGGGTATAAAAAGGAAGTTCAGCTGGGTGGGAGGTCAGAGCAGGCTGAGCTAACCATGTAACATCTCAGCAAAGGCCTGCGCCAAGAGTCACGATGGGTACAGGAGAAGCCATAGGGAAGTTGTTTCAAGAAGAAATGAGCTGGGGTGTGGTGGTGCATGCTGGTAAGTGAAGCACTTTGAAAGGCTGAGGCAGGAGGGTCCCAAATTTGAGCCCAGCCTGAGCAATTTAGCTATGTAGCAAGACCCTGTCTCAAAGCAAAAAGTAAGAACAGGACTGGAGTGTGGTCAGTGTGAAGGCCTTGAGTTCAGTCCTCAGTGCTGTCAGAAAGAAAGAGGAGGAGAAAGAGAAAGAGGACAGAAAGAGGACATGCATGTCATGTGTTAGGGTGCCACAGAGCAGGGTCTCTAAGAAGTGTGGAGAGGAGGAGACGCAAGCCAGGGCAAGAAATGCAGTGGCCTCCTGTGGGAAGCAAGGACATGTTCAGTGTCGTAGGAAAGCAGGAAGGAAAGGTGGCCAGGGCTGAGGCACCTTCACAAGTGCGGTGTGGGGCGTTGGCTTGTGACGCTGTGTCGTCCCTGAAGCAGAAGGCAAGGTCACAGGTGACCCTGGAGGAAGGCAGAACGGTGACCTTGTTGATAGGCTGCACACGTGTTTAAGACTTGCACTTCTCACACATGTAAATTATACATCTGAAGAGTAAAAAACTGCTTTGTTTTACTCTTCTGGTTCTAACAAATACATGTAACCCAGTTCTCTAAAACATAGACTGTTCCTGTGACCCCCAAGGAACATTAAAACTTCTCTACTTGTATCAAATTTCTGTATGAATACACTGTGGAATCCTCACTGCCTGTACCAAGACCCAGCATGGTACTAAGTCAGGACTTTTGTCCCAGTTTTGTTGGGCACGTGTGTTTTACTGAGTGAGTAGATGTAGTCGTTTAGTACAGCAGACTAGTTCCTGTTGCCCTATCCCTTCAAATTCTCTGGAGACCATTTGTTGTCTTCTGTCCCCATGAAAGCTAATAAAGGTCACCCAGAGGCCACTCCAGGTGAGCTGGATGGCAGAGTTTGGCCCCACTCAGTTTGAGTATTTATCCTCCTTTTGGCAGAAGAGGCCATAAGACCTAAAAATGAAAGGGTGATGCAATCAGTCCAAACTGAGTCCAGACAGTGGCCGTCAAAAGGAGCCAGAGGTCACACCCGCATGTGCTCGACACACGAAGTCTGTCCACCACGGTGCCTGGCACCAGGGGCACACAGAGGAAAGAAGGCCCCACGGGGAGAACCAGCAGCCGCAGGGAGGCACCGTCAGCTTACGTGACATCTGGGGTTGGATATTTATTGTCACCTAGGCAAGCGCTGTTGCCCTGTGCTGTATCCCTGGGCTGCCCCTGGGCAGCCTGGAGAACTAAGATGCTCAGGTATTTAAGGAGCACCTTGGAAGGGTTAAGTCGGAGTCCCGGGGGGAGCAGTGATTCCCGCTGTCCGCCTTGGTGAGACCGTGATGTCAGCAGCAGGCTGACAGAGGTGCCCTCTCCTCCCCTCCTGGCTCTTCCTCCACACGCTTCCCCCATCCACAGCACCACACATTCGATTTATTACCAGCCATCACTTCCTGCTAGAATGGAAGCTGGTCATGGGGGGTAGAATTTATTCCATCTATAATCTTCAGCAACATCTCACTGCCTACCTTATTTTATTTTATTTTATTGAATCAGAGTCTCACTCTATAATCCAGGCTGGCATAGAACTCACTATGGAGCCCAGGCTGACCTGGAACTCGTGGCGATCCTCCTGCCTCAGCTTCCCCAAGTGCTGGGAATACAGCCCTGTGCCACCACACCCGATCCACTGCCTTAAATGTGCCTTTCCGTCTTCTTGTCTCCCTTGCACATCCATTCTTCTCACTCAGCGTACCCTCCTCAGGTGGAAAATTATTTCTTCCCCTGTCTGGAAGAAAGGACCCTCTGCAGAATCCCACCAGCGCTTGTGTTCATGCTGCTTGGGGTCATTTGTGTGCTGCAGATCACCCAATATGTCATTGTTTCCTCTCCAGGAGCATGTTCTTGGAAATGGGGTTACTCCACAGTGTTTGCCGAGTGACTGAAGGAGTTCCGCTTGGGAGCTGACTAAGTCAGCAGGGAGGGAAGAGGTCACTTTCAGTGGAAAAACCCTCAGTTCCTCTGAGGACATGCAGTGCCTGTGAGTGAAATAAAGATAGAAGCGGAGACCAAGCAAATGGTCAGGAAGGTCCGTGGTCAGGAAGATCAGCCATACCAGCCACATTCAATTGGCTGCGATCGATCTAGCTCAGGTAAGCAGGAAAAGTACACATTACAGGTAACAAAAGCTGGCTTTTTCCTTTCCTTGTTAAGGATTTGATTTTTTTTTTTTTTTTTTTTTTTTTTTTTTTGTACTAGGGATTTGAACTTATAACCTCACACTCAACAGGCAGGTGCTTACACCAGTGAGCAGGATTTGAGCAGGAGAGGGTTAGTGTCTGACTTAGGTTCTGGTTAAATAAAAGATACAGGCAGTCAGGAACAGAAGAGAGAAACAAGTTGGGAAGGCCATCGAGTGGCCAAGGCAGGAGCATGGGCGCTCAGGTTTGGGGTATAGTTTGTGGATAAAGACAAAAAGAGGGTGCGATCATAATTTGAATGTCGGAGGAGTGGCTGACTTAAGATAACCCTCAGTGTTTAGCCGGAGCCATCAGTGAAGGGCAGAGATGTTTGCTGGGGTTGGGAAGGTGCAGAGATCTTTCCAGAGTCCCGGGTGGTGTATCACATTTGCGAAAGCATCAGAGCTCCAAACAGAGGCGCCGCTGGTCAGCGGTGAGACAGGTGAATTTCAGAAGTTAGTAAGAGGGAATTCAGCCCTCAGTGAGAGCACAGGTAGGAGACCTGTTCCTGTTCCGGGATGGCCTGATTTGGGAGTTCATCCTCTTGGCCTCCCGTGGAGCTGCTGGAGCATCAAAATGTGACATGGGCCGGGGAGAAACCCCGTGTTCCTTCAGGATCATTCATCCCAGGTGAGACCCTGCCTGGGGTGCAGGCAGGTGACTGTGCTATCTCTGCCCCTCTGTCCTGGACACCCTTACGCCTCAGGAGGACACAGTCCCACTGATTGCGGGATGTGGCCTATGGAGTGTGGGTGAGGAAAGGCCACCTTGAGAGAGCAGGTGATAGGAGGCTCCTGGCCGGAAGCCTGGGCCACATCACCCGGTATCTGATGATCTGATTATTCAGGATCACTGGCACTCAGCAGCCACTTGCATCACGTTTAGAAGGCTGAGGGCCTGTGCCTCAGGGTTCTATTGTGTAGATGCAGCCAGGGAGGGAAAGGGTGAAGCCTAGCACAGCATTTTAGCAATTGGCAAAGGCTTTGGCCTTGGGCTTTTCTCATCAGGTGTCTTGGCAGAATTAGCAAATAAATCAGGCCCTATGTTCCCATAGCTGATTTTGCCAGAGCTTTCTTTGTAGAGAAGGTCTCTCTCTCTCTCTCTCTCTCTCTCTCTCTCTCTCTCTCTCTCTCTCTCTCCTTCTTCCTTCCTTCCTTCTTATGACTTCACTGTACAGCCCAGGTTAACCTCAGACTCATGGAAATCCTCCTGCCTCAGCCTCCTGAGTGCTGGAATTATAGATGTGCACCACCTCACCTTACTTTACCCCCAGATTTGCCAGGAGTAAGCCTAGGGAAAAAAGGGGCTTTCTAAGGGGAAGCCTTCTGAGCAAGAGTCTAGGGTACTGAGTGCAGAGCAGCTGTATCACTTGAAAGTCCATCTGAATGAAGAGGTGTCAACAGGTCCCCCCTGAGGACCCTGGTGCTTCTGTCCCCTCTGGTTGGATTAAGCCTGGCATCTCCCCTTTCAAGATAGCTGCTCCCCATCTTTGCACCTGTTTGCCTTTGAATGAGGCGGGCATGCTTTTAATAGTAACCAAAAAAAAAAAAAAAAAAAAAGCACAAAAAACAAAACCCACCGAAGAGCTTGGTGATCCTGTCTGGACAAATCTGCCATGGGAACCCCTCAGGCTGGAACTCCTCTTTCGAGGCATCAGCAGTGGAGTTTTGGATCCACCCGGTTGGAGGTCTGAGTCCAGCCTGTTTCTTCCTGCTCCAGAGACTGAGCCCAGCCACCGTAATCGTCCTTTCGGCTTGGATGGGGAGGATTGGTTGCCTCAGAGAGATCAGAAGGATGCACATCAAGGACGCTGTACACCGAGGTGAGCATACTGACAGTTGCAGGGTGCATTGCCAGCCGCCAGCCTGCCGGGAAAGCGGGCTCAGGAGCTGGGACCCAGCATGAACAGGACATGGCACCAGAGCTCTGCGGTCCCATGGCACTGTGCTGTCTGTCACCTCATGGAATGAAGTTTGCTGTGAACCTTGACCTTGCTGGGTTGCCAGGGACCTGTTATTATTTTGTTGATGTAAAAAGAGCATAACATAAAACTAAACTTCCCTGCCCTGAAGACCCGGGGAGTAAACCCAGGGCCTTTGCTTGAGGTCACACAGCCCGCCTTTTCATGTTTCATGATGTTTCATGTTTCATAAGGTCTGCAGCCGGTCAGCCTGCTGGGACTGCAGGCAGGCATCACTGTGTGAGCCGCGTTCAAGTCCGCAACTCCAGGGCACTCAGCACACCCACAGCCCTGTGGCCATCTGCTCTGGGAGCCCCCAGACCGTCTTTCCTGCTCCGGGAGAAGGTGTCTGCACCAAGCCACCAGCCACCACCGGCCCGCTCTCTGCCAATGGATTTTCCCTGTCCCAGAATTTCACAAAGGTGCAATCAAATGGCCTGTGAAGTTGGATTTCTCCCACTTGGGTCACTTAGGGTTGAAGGAGAAACAGCAGATACCCATGAGAATGGCCACGCCATCACCCCCTGGTCTCTGCAGCCTTGGGGGTTCCCAGTGTTTCACGAAGACCCTGCCCTGGATTCAGTGTTGGGTGAATTCTTGGGGAAAAAAACCTCAGAAAGTTCTGATTGAGTCCAGCCTATCCAAAGTCTGAGTCAGAGAGACCTCAGCCTCTGGAAGTCTTGGCTTCTGGGCAGTTCAGCCCTGTCATCGCTCTCTCTCTCTCTCTCTCTCTCTCTCTCTCTCTCTCTTTCTTTCTCGCTCTTACTTTCTCTCTCTCTCTCTCTCTCTCTCTCTCTCTCTCTCTCTCTCTCTCTCGGCTTTTAATTTTAAGTTTTTCCAGATGGATCAGGCTAGTTCAGGCTGGCCTTGAAGTGGGGGCGATCCTCCTGCCTCGGCCACCGGAGTGCTGGGGTTACAAGTGTGCACCACCACGCCTGGCTCAACCCTGTCATTCCCTAGGGAAGGCCCAGGATTATGTCTGTCGATTACTGTAAGACACATACAACCGAGCCGAGTGTGATAGTGCATACCTTCTTTAATTCCAGGGCTCGGGAGGCTGAAGTGGGAGAATCCTTGCAAATCTGAGACCAGCTTTGGCTAGAAAGTGAGTTCAAGGCCAGCCTGAACTGCATAGTGAGACCTTGTCTCAAAAAGAAAAACAAAGATACAACCCTCCTTCCACATATTTTTTAAAGTTCCACTTAGGTGTAGAAGGTTCCAGGGCTTAATGACAGACACGAGGTTCCCAATTTCAAGCTCACTGGAGGAAAATAGGATTACATGAGGCTTAAATTAAAATACGAATCCCAAGCACTGTGGTGGATTGAAGCGCAGGAGCCCTGGGAAATCCCAGGCAAGGAGGGAGGTGGGGGTTGGAGGGGAGTTGTTCCCCATCTCCCCTTCCCCAGGGCCTCCCCTCCCCTAGAGCCTCCTGACCCCCAGAGTTGCAGTGGGTGCTTTGCCAGCAGAAAATAAAACTTGGAGGAGGCAGAGGTTTCCAGAACACTGAGCAGCTCCTGACCTCAGAGCCTGAGCTAGTTTGTTATCAAAGCAGGACCTGTTCCCGCGGGCCTCTCCTGCTGTTCCAGGTCCACCTGGGCCTCAGACCACACAGTGCAAAGGTCCAGATGGCACGGAAGGGCCTGTGGCCCCTGCTCCCGACTCCACACCACTTGACCCTCGCTGGTACCATGGGCACAGCTTCCTCTGGCCTCGCAGGTGCTGGGGGCCCTGGCCTCAGAGAAGGCAGGTTCTGCTGATCCTGCTCTGTCTCCAGCCCCCCATGGTCCTGGTCCTGCCGCCAGGCCTCTTGAGGCACAGCTGTCGCCACCGGCTCTCTATCTACGCTCAGAATCAGTTCCCAGCTGGGTGCCTGCAGAGGGTACCTTGGAGTTCTCCAGTGCACTGGGCTGTGTAACATTAAGTAAAAATGCCTCTGGGCACAGCCTCTCCTCTCCTCCTAGGGCACTCTCAGGAGTTGCTATTTGATTATCATTCCCCGCCCCCCCAGCACTGGAGGGTGAATCCAGAGCCTCTGCACCAAGCTGCTCCTCAACTCATTTCCTACTTTTGGTTTGGAAACAGGAACTTCCTAAGTTGCCCAGGCTGGGTTTAAACTCAAATTCGGGGATTACAAGTGGGCACCATGCCGTGGGCCCCCATGTTATGTCTGACATACTCAGAAACTGGACTTTGCTAAATCTATGAGCCTGTTTTACCAACGTTCCTTTATTCTCAGCCAAAATCTGCTTTTGTGTAAGTTCTACCTGGTTGTCTCACTTAAGACTCAGAGCTGCACAGAGGGTCTAAACACCCAGAAGCCTCTCTGATGCCCTGTGACCACTGTCAGGATGCACCAGCCCTCCGGGGACCAGGCGCCTACCCTACTTCCGCGTGAGTGCGGTTCCCACACTGGCTGCTCTGGAGAATCCTTAGGGCATCACCACGGGTCACTGACATCTAGGACAGAGCACCTGGAGAAATAATGATGGGGCCGAGGGTGATGGCACACCCATCATCCCAGAACTTTGGGAGGCTGAGGCAGGAGGATCCCAAATCCAAATCCAGCCTAATTAGGAAGATCCTGTCCAGGAAAAAGAAGATGTAGCTCCATGTGGAGCTCTGGGTTCAACTCCAAGTGTTGAAAACAATGAAAACGAATAAGCAACCTGTAGCAGAAGGGACGGGCTGAGCTAGAGGAGCACTTCCAGGCTGTCACTACCCTCAGCGCAGGGCCAGGAGACTGTAAGACCACACCTGTCGTGACCTGGCGGGAGGACAGCAGAGCCGGGCAGGTGACCCATGGTACTGACCATTTAGAAACGGAGACAGGAGTGCTGAGCTGCGTTCCTCATACCCTTGCAGTTGCCGAGACTCAAGGCTGGGGTAACAGTGGGTGTTAAATTAAAAAAAATTACAACCAAAGCCACGTGGCTGTGAGTCCCCCCAGCCCTCCCTCAAGGGTCTGTCCAGGTGCGATGCAAGCCCCAGCGAGTGTCACTGCCCAGCACCGCCCAGTGGAAGGGCAGCTTGAAAACACACGATGCTGTGTCCACGTCCACCTCACTCCCCAGATCCACCACCGTGGACTCCAGCTCCTCCCCAAAGTCATAGTGACCCAAGCAGGACGTCAAGGCAGCCACGTCAGCGTACTCAGGACCCTCAGGAAAGAGGATGCCCGGGCTACAGGAAGGGGTGAAGGACTGAGGATGAGTGTGCTCGGAGAGAGGGGACTCACAGAGGGGTCTTTTACCATAATAAATCTTTTAAAAATCGCTAACGTTCACTGCATTTTTTCCCTCATTCCATACTCAGAGGAAGAATGCTGAATTTTCCCCAAAATTCGTCCCACAAGGCTAAAGCATCACACATTCTCTAGAGATTCCTGCCCAGGAGGCAGAGCCCGACTTCAGCCCTGGTCTGCAAGTGCTGTGTCTCCCCAGGACCCCGTGCCAGCCTGGGAGGGGCTGACAAACAAGGACAAAGTACCACCTTTGTCCCCAGGCCCATGAGGACTGGCACAGGGGAAGCTGTGGCAAAAGAATGCAAAGCCCTTGCACCCTTTCCGTCCCAGCTTCCCCGAAATCTTCCCTTTCTCCTTCCCAGCCGCGGGGTCGTAACCTAGGCTGCCCCGTGGATTTCTGGCTAAATCACGAATGATGATTGAGTGTGGCTGCGGCAGGGAAGCTTTCCAAGTCTTCTTCTCCTTTGCTCTTTCCAGGGAGTCTTCTGAGGACATTCTCTGGGTGTTCTAAGAAAACACCAGTGTCCACTGTTTTTATGAAGTTGCAGCCAGAGAAAAATCTAACATCACCACCTACAAGTACAAGGACCAATTTTTTTGCACGTGAAAACTTTAATAAAAATGACTCTGTGGGGTCAGGGATGTAGCTCAGTGGCACAGCACCTGCCCGGCAAGTGTGAGTTCTGATGTGAGTTCTGATGCCAAAATACAATAACAAAAATAAGAAAAACCCAAGATTCTTCCACAGGATTTCTCCAAGTGGAAGTCCCTGCTTCCCAATCTGACTCCTCCCAAATTAAAGCATCTATTTTAGAACAGAAGAAAGATCAAGGACATGCAGAGTCCTCTATTCTATTCTATTTTTTTCTCCTTCAGAAGTGATAGGATCCCCCATGCAGTCCAGGCTGGAATTGTACCTGTTATATAGCCCAAACTGACTCAAACGGGAAACTGTTCTGCCTCAGCCTCCTGAGTGCTGGAATTAGAGGCATGCACCACTACACCTGGCTAGAAGCAGATTCTTCTAATGAAGCAAGGCTAAGTGAAGAGGAGTGTAATTTTGGGTAAAAGAGTGAGAGGTTATTGCATCACTGGGAAATGAAAAAGGCAGGTTTAAGGTGCAGTCACCTGTAGTCTCCTGGGAGCTCTGTGTTAGGAAGAAACTGAGGCCCATGCCAGCGCCCAGGCATGACTTGCAGCTGTGGTGAACCCCACAGAGGCAGCGTATGGAACGTCCTGAGACAGAATTTCTGCCTCCAGCAATGCTCAGGAGGCCTCATCTTGCATGGGAAAACACGATTAAAAGCTTATTTTTTTTTTTTTTTTCCTGAGCTTCAGTTTGGAATTTCTTCTTTGCTTTAACTTCTTTTTTCTTATCTTTTTGAGACAAGGTCTCGCTGTGCAGTTCAGGCTGTCTTTGAGTGCACTTTGCAGCCCAGGCTGGTCTTGAATTTGCAACAATCCTCCTGCCTCAGCCTCCTGAGTGCTGGGATTACAGGCATGCATCACCACAGCCAAATGCTTTAACTTTTTGGAAGTTGTTTGGGAGAGTGATTTAAACAAGCAAACAAACATTAATGTAGTAGCCTCAGCAGGGTGGTGCAGACTTCTTACCCCAGCACTTCTGAGAGGCTGAGGCAGAAAGACTTCAAAACCCAGCGCTGCATGGGCCATTTAGAGACTGGGAGAGGCCTTGTTTCCAAATACAAAATTTCTAGAGGGCTGGGGTGTCACTGGGCGGGGCGATGGCCAGATCAACCCTCAGTATTACTAAGTTTTAAAAAAACTATTGTTATTATGTTTCCAACCCAAAACCGGATGTTCAGCTAAGTCTAAGAGACGTAGTCTTGCTTTCCAGTGACTTGGCTTTGCTGGTGTAATTTGCAACAGGCTTCTTCCAAGGCTACGAAATCCACATTTATTGAGTGCTGCCTCTGGAGGGGACAGGACCCCTTTCACTCAGCAGCCCGCTATGTGCTCCTTTGGCAAAGGAGAAACTGGTATTTAAGAGGTGAGATCAAGGTCTCCAGCCTTCGAGCCTGGTCCTGCCGATCCACACAGCCGGAAGCAGAGGAGGGGAGAGAGGGGAGCTAGAAAGCGAATTTTGCTGACAGTTGGTCTATTGTTCTCGAGCTCACGGGTTGAGCAAATCTAATTCACACCAACAAAATGCTGCCTTTTGGAAAACCAAAATCCAAACTAAATGCAAGGTCTAAAGATAAAAGACAAGCAGGGGCTCCCCAGACAGGAACAGGTTTGAGATCTTGTGAGGTCACTTGTCATAGAATCAGGTCGGTTCAGGAGCCTCCCACGTCAAGCACTTGGTTGAGACGTTTGCTTTACCTTCGCAACCTTTGAGAGGTGAGGCTGTGGAGAATTTACTTTGTGAAATAGAAGGGAAATTTCACAATCAGCTCTCTCAGCCTGTCAGCCGATGGGACACTTCTCACTTTCTGCAAGGAAGGAGAAAAAGCTCAACTTAACTGGCTGGGAGAAAGCAGAGGGCGCCAGCCATAAAAGAGCATTAGTGGTTTTCCTTAATAAACGCAGGATGTGGAAAATCAAGCAGGGAGAATCAATCAGACACAGGAAGCGATGGCCCTCGTGGCCGGTGTGTCCTACGGGGACATCGAGGCTTAAATATTGCGTGATTTCTCCTAGGTGAGAAATCCACAGTGTAAATAAAGAGCAAAATAAAACAGACCTGCTAGGAAGGAGGAAGATGGATCTTTTACAGAGGGGAAGGGAGCAGGAGGTGGGGGGGCCTGAGGTGAGAAGAATCATGCTGTTTGGGGTGCACGCCCCAATCCCCCACGTGGGATGTGACCACTATCTACCTCAAGCACGGACCAATAATAGTTAAAATTTGAAAAACTAAATAGAGGACATAAACAAGAGTAGGATTTTCTAGCCTTGGTGCAGCTATACCTGCCCAAGGTGAGCCGGAGAGCCGTCAGCTTTGGACGTTATGAAGGGGCAGGTGTGGAACTCAGGCTGACTTCAAGGCTGCTGGCCCTCAGTGTTGAGGGGAACCCGCAAGAGGGGTGTCCTGGTGGAGAGAGCTGGGGCTTCCCGAAGCTTTATTCTCACCATGCTCTCAGCCTGTGCAATTGATTTGCTGTGCATTCATGGATGGAAATAAGGGCATGCAAAGCGCATGTTTGTGTGCATGAAGATGTGTGCTGCGTGGTAGGAGTATATGGTAGACAAATACATGCACGATGTTAGTAAAAGTTTGGCTTCTATTTATAAAGGGTAACTGCTATCACCAGTAAGACTGCTGTGTTGGTCTTGTTGAAAGATATTCTCTTCCATGAGCTTTGGTAGCAGATTATTTTACAGGAGGGTTCCTTCCCTCTCCTAAATGTGGCTGATTGTGGTGAGTTTCACATTTTCTTTTTTTTGAAACAGGACCTTGCGGGGTAACCCAGGCTGGCCTTGAACTCACCAAGATCCTCCTGCTGCCTCAGCCTCCCGAGTGCAGGGATTACAGCCATGTGGACACCACGCCTAGCTTGGCTGCAATTCTATTCTACACCAGTGGCAAACCTGTCACTCTTCCTCTCCCTACGCTGGATGGTTTGGTCACTGCTGGCTGAAAGCAGATCTGGACGCTCCAACACTTACCAAAAAGTATCATTCTAAAAGGTGACTACGATCCATCCCTTTATCTCATGACAGTCAGGATCTTTACTGGGCAGCTGGTGTTTCCAGTTCATCCATGGCCTGGATCCTATCCACCTGAGTAAGAGTCCTAGCCATTCACCAGAATCACAGCCTCCGAATTCAGTAGAGCAGTGTGAATCTGCTTTGAAATATTCATGCCAGCCAGGTATGGTGGCACATGCCTGTAATCCCAGCACTCAGGAGGCTGAGGCAGGAGGATTGTCATGAGTCCAACTACAGCTGGATCACATAGTGGGTTGGCCAGCCTGCACTACATAGCAAGACCTTGTCTCAAGAAAACAGACAAAAGAACAAAAAAGAAATATACATGATGTAGTTGTGAAAACTTTGAATTTGTATATTTTCTCTCTCTCTCTCTCTCTCTCTCTCTGTCTCTCTGTCTCTCTTTCTTTTTCTTATTTTGAGGCAAGGTTTCACTTAGTGACTGAGTCACCCAAGCTGGCCTTGAACTTGCATTCTTCCTGCCTCAGCCTCCTGGAGTGCTGGAGTGACAGTCCCTGCTTCAGCAGGAAACACTTTTAAGTAGGTTTCCCCAAAACCACAAAAGCAAGCAGAGATCCCGCCAGCTCTCTGCTTGGCGGCCAGTGGGCAGTATTACTCTCTGGGACATGCTGGATGAGACTGGCGGGCAGAGGTGTAGCAGCGGGGACCTAAAGAAAGTCATTCTCAGAACTCAGTGTGACCTCAGGCCAGCTGTGCCCTGGGCAGCAGCTGCAGGAAGGGCCTGGTCGCCTGGCCTCTGGGGGACAGAACTGGCTCCTCGTGGCCCAGGAAACTTGGTGCTGTCTCCCGTGGGAGCTGCCAGCCGGGAGCTGTGTGGTCTCTGGGGATCCCCCAGGACAGAGGCCGAGAGCTGAGGGGGTGTGACACAGTCACAGCATTGTGAGGCTTCTTTCGGCCACAGTGGCAGGGGTGACAGACCTGTGGGGGCGTGGTGAAAACGCTTTTCATCTGCAGAATAACTACATGAGAAGGGGGACGCTGTGGCACGCGGCAGGACTCCGGGGAATTTGTCTGCTCCAGGGGAAAAGGAGGCTGAAAATGGGTCATTGAAGAGGGTCTGACCGATGAGACAAAGATTTTCCCTCCCACTTAGAGGAATCTGCAGAGTCCTCAGCCTGGAATGTTAAACAGTGACATTCAAATAGCATGGACAAATGCTTCTCGTTTGCTTTTCTTTTTTCTTTTTTGAGTTTAAAGCAGTGGCACATGAGCATGAAGCAGACCTAGCACTGCAGCCAAAGAACTCTCAGGACCGGAGAGAAGTCTTTCCATAAGACACCAAAGACCTAGCTGGAATAAATGTAATGTCTGTCTTGTTGGCTTGCTTTTTGGTTTTCGGTT